GGCAGACAGACAGCAAAAGGCAACACACATGCTTCTGGGCCCCCGTTCACAAAAGGCCCTCGGACTAAAACCACTTCAGTCCCAGACCTTCATGAATACAGCCCCCTGTAAAACCAAAAATAGGCTCTGGAATAAAATTATAGGCCAAAAATGAACACTTTCCTTTGCCCACACCTTTTGTTTTTGCCCAGATTGCTCAATCATTAACCATGCGCAGTGTTTTGATGCCTTTTGTTGCAGTGGAACAAAGAAGGAGATGAACGATTCTCTTGAGAATGGACCACCAGGGTTGGTTCATCACATCTTCGTGAAACAGAGATGCCACAGGAACAAACTAAAGCAACTCTGCTTCCACAAAAGTGGCCCATTGCCATCCAGGTGCTGCCCCGCAGAGTTATCTGAATTCCATGTGTATGTAAGCCCGTCCCCAATCTGGACTCAGCTTGGACTTGGCACTTGTTACTTGTCTTGCACAAAATGGAGCGGAAGTCTACAGGCCTCGATCGCAATTTTTGGACTTCTTATTGAAAATAAACGGGATTCAAAACAGATAATATCCTTGTGCCGTTGGCACAATATGGAGAGTGAGATTTCCTGTTTTTTTCAGCCCAAATCAGTCTTTCAAAAGTCTCCTCTTAAAAGGTAAGGTATGTGTGTGGAGATGAGGGGGAGGGAACGTTTAAAATTCATACATTTTGGGGGTTGAACTTGCCACATAAAATTCACTGTGAACCTGGTCACAACTCATGTTTTATTTCAAGGGGCAAAATGGAAGTAGCAGCAATTGTCCTTCACAACCAACAGCTAAATAAAAAAAGTACAATAAAGCAGTGCTAGTGAACATTAAAAATATAAAAGTTATGGGCCAAAGGATGGTTACAACACTTTAGTCGAAAAAAACACAGGGATGTGAATTCTCGGTAACAAGTTGAGCAACACTTAAACCCAAAAGCTTACATTCAATGTTCTTGCACACAAGGGGCTGCTTTGGCCCAAGGCACAGGCTGGTGTACTAGAACCTGGATGCCTGCTTTTGGAGTCTCAGATTTATAGATGTGTGCGTTTTAAACAAAAAAAATGAACTTTCACATTTTGTTTTTCTGCCTGTGATCCTCATAGCAGCAGTTCTGATGCAGAACAGCAAAATGTTTGGTTGGCAGAGAAGAACCGCATTTCACAAAAACCCCTGTGCTGGTGCGTCCAAACCTTACTTTTGACCTAGATTTGGCATGTAAAACTTCTTTTATAACTCCATCAGGATTGCTATTGGCTTTACAAGTCAAGACCAAAGCTTTACGACAAACCAAAAGCATAGACATTTTAATATCTGGTGCAATCAAATTCCAGCACTGCAGCAGATGCCAGGATCTTCCAGATCCTTCATGTTGCACATTAAAATCACCCTCATTTGCATTTCCCTTTCCTGCACACACTAAGTATGCCTTTCATTGAACCTCCAAATCCAGTTAGCAGCAGTATTTCTCTGCACTCGTGCAACTGATTTGCACAGTCATTGGCGGGATGTAGTTTTCTTGCCCTCATTGCAACGAACAGGCCAGTTACAGATGTGTTTACGCCTTGAAGCGCTTCGCAATCTGCGTCATTTTTTTTTCAAACTTCCTTCCAAGCCTGTTTCTAAACTGGAGAAGCATTTAGTCTTCAGAGGGCTTAAACACATCGAAACAGATTGGCTTTTGTATGGGATAACGCTTTATGGTTTATCAATCACGGGAATCAGTAAAGACNAAAAAAATTACCCAACATGCCAACTTTCTCTCTTCCAGGCACTGATGTTTATCCTCACAACACAAGAAAATTGCTGTGCTTTCTGAGAAAGCACCCTGAACTCTCCACTTGGGGTGCCTGGACTCATCATACCTAAGGCCAAACCCTTCCCCTCGCTGCTTGTATTCTCGTGGCGACAAAGGACAATATTTTTTCCATTTACAAGGTTCTGAGGTTTTTGAAGGAGAATTCTTGACACTTTATTTACACTCTTTGGTAAAAAGTAAATGTTTGAGGCCACGGCCGTCAGTGAGAGGCGGTGCAAGGGAGGGCGCTGTGTTAACGACTGCAGGTTGCTGATGCACCACAACACTTCTCTGCCTCAATATCACTCTTACCACAGTGGGCAGACTCGGCTATGTTCAGGCAAAGATGCACACGAGAATAGGGAAGGGCTGTATTGACCCCACACTCTATTGTTGAATAGCCTGCGTTGATCCCATATCCTATTGTTAAAGGCCTGGTTTGACTCCACAATAATTCTATTCCTTTCCCCCCATTTGAATGGGCTGCCGACACCCATGTCAAAAGGTTCACTTGGCTGCTCAGGTGAGAACTGGAAGTCCAAAAAAAGACAAACAATGATTAAAAACTTAAAATTCTTATGGTGGTCGTGAGGGGGTGGAAAGAGAAAAGCAAGATTTCAGGGGGAGGGGATGATTAAAAAGCCAGATAAACATACCACATTTCAACAAAGGAGTTAGAAAATGGATTAGAAAAAAAGGTCAAATTTTATCCTGCATCGCATGGGTTGGATGGTGCCTAGTCAAGAAGATGTCTAACACAAACATTAACAACACTGAACGATGGTAAACGCAGGGTGCAAAGCCTGCGATGGCCCTCAAACTCTCAGTTGTTTTGATGAAGTCAATCAGTGTTGAATTAGCTTCAGCAAAACTACTAACACGTTACTTCAGGGCCAACAGAAGTGACTTGATGCTGACACTCAATTGAGATCAATACCTGACCCAACAAAGTCGATGTGCTATTATTGCACATTCTTACCCAGTTATGGTACCGATTTATACAAGTATCACTCGAGATAAAACTTTAGTGGATTAAAATAGAAGGGACACATTGTTAATCAATCAATTCGACTGAAGGGGTTGAGCACTGGGATGGATTTCGTTTGGAGAGTGCTTCCTGGCTGTTCAACACGCTCACCAAGACAACCCAGAACTATGGTATGAGTGAGCTTCATCTGAAAGTTATGCTTTTCTCCCTGTCAATGCACCTCCTCTTAAAGCATTATTTGTTTGATCAAGGGAAGAGCCTAGTACGTACCAGTTACAGTCACTTAAATTATCTTTGAAGAGAATGCTGTTTTCACCAAACTCATTTTCTACTGTTGGCGTTTCATTCCCATCTCAATGTGGTATGATACTGTCAAATCACCACTTACCCTGTCCTGCCTCCAACGCTTGTGATTCCTGAAAAGACCTTGTGTGTGTTCATAAGGCAAAGAAGTACCAGTCTGAGCCTGACCACCTCATTGAACAAAGAAACATTGAAATATTCGTAGCAGCTGCTGAACATAACAGAGTGCATTCATGTTAAAAACAGCACCGACACTCATCTGTGCATACAAGCTGAAACTTGGCTCCATTTGGCAGTGTTGCTAGTAGACCGTAATGCATGCACATGGAATAAACTAACTACCCAGAGTTTGACTTGGATGATTGCATTAATAATCTTTGTTGAACGTTTCAAGCTCCACCTTGAGTACAACTGAACTAGCACTTTTTGCAATGCTCCCATCACTATTTGATGCTCTCTCCCCCCAAGCAAAAAACCCTTGAAGAGAGAAGTCCTCCCTCCTCACACCTCCTTCCGTCTCCCTCCCCCTCCACCCCAGAATATGCTGAGCTTCTCCAAATCTGAACTGAAGAGCATCTGGGCTCCGAGATGTGCAGTTTGACAATCAAACCAATTCAGACAATTTCCATCAGACAAGTGGAAATTTCAGGAGACTACAACTGATGCTGCACTTCAGACCAAGGGACACAACAAATGGCAGACAACCAGCCCTGAATGCTGGACATGACAATAAAAATCTCCCTGAAAATTGGACACAGGAAGTTGTTATGAGGTGACCACAACTCTATTGCGTACCGGATAGCGTGTCACAATACTCTCTCATGTAGCCAAAATGAAGTGAGTGGCAGACATGTACTTCAGGTTAAAACTGTGGCCCAACAACCCAGCGACACCAAATAATGAAATCCAACATTTTTAAAAAAAACTGTGTGATATTGTGAACTGCTGTGACACAGCCAGTCTCTGACATGAAAAATTTCACATTAATCACTTGAAATGGTTTGATTGATCTTGTGATCCACAATAAGCATGTTTATGTATGTGTCTGTCAGGTAATGAGTGAGTGAGGTTACCGGTAAGTCTGCTGGTGGTTGTGATGGTGCGTTTCACCCCATCTTCACCCCAGAGGCTCTTCTGATAACCTTACCCCAAAGCGAGCTCTTCTGAATGATACCATCTCTAAATTGGTACAACTTCAAGAATCATCCAGTTCCACCCAACATCCCAAGCAACTGGGGCTGATCCAGCATGCTGTTCTGTGCCTGACCTGAATGGTGCAGTGCAATGTAGAGAGGCCGATTGGGGTAAAAATAAAGTTCATTTAAGGCTTAAAAAGGGCGAGTAGTGATATCACACTGATTCCACAATTGGGTCTGAATTGGTTCCTGGTACAGTCACTGACACTTGAAAGCAGGACTGAATTCCCCAGCCAACTGGGCAAAATCCATAAGATACTTCCTGTAAAGTAAGGTACTTGCTGCATTTTTCTGCGGCAATCTGTTGCTAGCGTATATTGCATTGTTTCGCCAAGACGATTGCACCGTGCCACCAGCTGTCAAACGCCAGCCAGTTTGCAAACCGAGGAAACGGACTGTTCTCTTGGGCCCTCAGCACAAAAATAAATAAATAAATAAATAGAGAGAATTTCTTGGGGTCACCGCTTGTCTTTCCACTCCAGCACCCAGGTGAACAAAGAAGGTCGGTCCGTCCGGGCCATCGACAAGTCCGGGTTAAACACACTACAACCGACCGGGTGGTTGTATAGGAGGTTAGCAGTAACCATGCCTGCAGGAGAGAGGCCAAGGGGGGGAAGCTGCAGGTAACACACGCCACAAAAGAAAATTTCTGTTCGAAATAAACACCCCCAGGCGCCGGAGATTCCTCTTTTTTCTTCCCCAGAAGCACCCAGAGAGGCGGCAATGCTCTTCACCTGAAGGGAATGACGGCCACTCAGTCTTCACGACCAGTCCCCAGCCGTCACTTCCCCTCACGCCTCTGTGCCGAAGGTGAAAGGGTGCCCTCACTTTCTTCCCCAGAGAGACGCGGGGAGCATCATCTGCCCCGTTTGTGGTTGTTTGTGTTGAAAATGTCAGAAATGGTGGAAGAGGTTTTTGTTCATAGAAATGGGTTTCAGGAAACAGTCTGATCTACCACGCTTGGTTCTTCTGTGAATGAACAGCTTTTTTTTGTTTTGTAGTTTAAACCTCAGAGCCACCAGAGGGACATGAGAAACAAGGACTGACACCCGCTGGGATGAGTTGTGATGGAGACGCGTCTACTTGAACGCTGTAAACTCTCCTGTTGAAGGTAAAAGACATCAGGTGAAAGAAAGAACGAACTTCGTTTTGAGACTAAAGAATTCATAATGAACTGAACCATTATGCTTCACAGTGAAAATAAAGGTTGCTTTCGCCAACCACCCAGCGATATCATTCTTAACAAAGAAATCACTTGCTTTTCATTTGGCACTGCTTCCATTTACTGGAGGGCAGCACACTGTGTCCCACACAACTCTACCTCGTCACCTCTCCAAGTCATCTTAACAGGGCAGTATCTTTACATACACAGAAGTTCCCCTTTCAACTAATGTCTCCTTCAGAGCAGCAGCGCCCCCCCACCACAGAACACAGCTTCCTTTGCCACATCAGTCGAAAACCTAAAATTACTGGCTTTTCACTGTGTCAAGCAGGACTGAGTCACACGTCGCGCTATGGCTTGAACACAAAAACACAAAAGAAGAAAAAGTTGCTTGGCTCATTGAGCCTACTCCATTGGACGCAACAACTTACACTGTCAAAGAGCCTCCTCAGGAAATATCCTGGAGCCCTGAGAACAACATTTGACATTTCTGTCTGACCACCAAGGATAATGAAGCAAAGACAGTGGTTCATCCCTCGATCGAGACAATCTAGACTGCTGGTTGCAAGGCTTGTCAAAGTGCGCCTCTTTGACTTGTTCTACATTCGCTGAATAGTGCATAGAACATTATTTGGCTGAAATGCCCTCCTCCCCCATTTTAGATTATTCAAGAAAGCAACAACTCACTTCAATCAACTGCACTTCACTGCTCAGCTCCTTTCTGAATTACCTTTACCTGCGGTAGCAGGTCTATGAGAGGTCAGTTTTAAAGCTGGGCTACATAGGACTGGATGCGCCTTTAGGAACATGGGCTTCTTGTTCAGTCATTTCCATAACAGGATACAACAAAAAGTATTCGCTGTGACACAATCCCACACTCCTCCCCAAATTGGGAGGATGACGCGAGGCTGCAAGAAATGAGCTCTGATTCCAGGTAACAAACACAATATTAAAGGTTTCAAAACATGGAAAACACGTGCTTCTGGCCCTAAGTTACATGTGGAAAATTCCTCATCACAGTCACATGATCAGTTGACTGGGGGGTGGGGGGAGGAAGAGTAGGAGGGAGTTCATCGCCCTGAATCATTCTGTCCCATTTACTTGTAACTAGTGTAAACTCGCTGGCAATGGCCACCTTTGACTGCGGTAAGATTACAGATTCACAAGATCAGTTTGGGTGGAGAAGGCCCCTTTAGCATCTCTGATCTCATCCTTTCAGAATACTTGGCCTACCATCACAGCATCAAAACGCTTGTTAGATGATGCCAGTGTCCTGGCCTCAACCACCTTTCCTGGCAACCTGTTCCAGTCATTGAAATAATCCTCTGGTAAAGAAACAATTCCTGGTGTCTGACCTGAAATTGTCCTTTAAAATTCTAAACCTAAATCCTCTTGTTCTACTATCTTGGTGGATCTGAATGTATAGCTGCTTTCAAGAGGAACCCAGACCTTTACATGAGGGAGAGGTGAAGTGAAGGGTATGGGAGAGAGTAAAGGAATGGGTGGAATATAAACACCGGTACAGACTGATTGGGCCAAGTGGCCTGTTTCCATTCAGTACAGTCTTTGTAAATCTTTGTTTTGTATTAACTTTTGCATTCCCATTTAAAATGTTATACACCTGCACAAGATCCCCTCTAAGACATCTTCTCTCAACACTGAAGAGCATTAGCTCATTGAAACAGTGCTCAAAACTCTGGTCTGGTCATGTTGCTGTAAGCCTGTGTGGAACAGAATCCATGATTCTCATACATTACATAGACAACTTCACTATTCTTGCAATGCTCCTTTTCTGCCACTGGAGGTCATACTTGGCCAACTGCAAGGAACAGCTTTGCAACCAACGAGTCTGACGCACCTCATCTGAAAATTTGGCCACTTGACAGTTTTGATTTGAGCATCCAAAATCAACCAAACGGATTGCTATGTACAACTGCTTCCTTGCATACCGTGAAAACGGTCATTACAAAATACAGTCACTCCACTTTACAATGTATACTGTGAAGCACTCAAAGATGATATAACCAATGCAAGGATTATTATTGGCGTTAAGCTTCTGGAGAAAGCAGCTAAGGAGAAGGGGCATGTAATATGAACAATGCGCAGAGGCTCCGTAAAAAACAGACACTAACAGCTGTGAAAATCCTTCTCCGTGCAGTTGCCACAGAGTGAAATTTCTTTTTGCCACAAATTAAGACTGCTATTCTTAGCACTGGAACAGCAGTGCTAAACATGAGTTATTTCTAACACTACAAAAGGAGAGATTCTGAAGTTAATGCGCAGACAGGCTTAAATCGAGAGCAGAAGGAAATATATAGTCACTCCTACTCACTTTTTTTGACTTTAGACTCACAGAAACACGCACAGCAAGATGCTCTCCCAAAGGGCATTTTTGGTATGTATCAATTAAAGACCTTTCCTTATCAACCGGTTCAATGGACTCACCATATCCCCCTGCCTGGATGGGTGTTTTTGGGGAAGCACAAGTGTATAAGCTGAAGTCCTCTGTCTGGAAACCAGCCCGATTTAATGAGGGTTCTGATGCGCTGCGATGAATCTTTGGCAAGGATCTGGCAAGCAGCTCAATTGAAGCTAAAATCTGTAACAAAGGCAGCAGCACTTCGGGTTAACATACAATTTATTTTTCATAAACGTGACTACAAAATACAGTCACTATACTTTGAGACATCTTTCCAACATTTATATATTATCAAATATAAAGATTTTTATTATAATAATATTAACAATAATCCTTGTGTTGGGTATAGGCCCTCTCATGTCAGGAGGATGCCCAAAATGCTTCACAGGATACACTGTGAAGTGGAGTGACTGTGTTTTGTGGGTGAGCGTGGCAGCCAGTTTGCACACAGCAATGTCCCACAAAAAGCAATGGAGTGAACCAATTGTATTTGGGAGATTGTTGCCCAGGACACCAGGAGAGAAACTCCCTTCTCTTTTCAAAGAGTGCCATGGGAGCCTTTATTGTCACCTGAACAGGCAGATGGGACTTCAGTTTAACGTCTCATTTGAAGGACGTATTATTACTATTAATAATCCAATGTATAATAATCCTTCCATTGGATGCAGTGCTTTTTACAATGGGAGGAAGCAGAAAACATCAATGCATTTAAAAGGAAACTTTTTGCATGCATGAGGGAGAAGGGAACAGAGGGGTGCTGGAGAGGGAATGAAGAGGAGTGGGAGCTTCTGTGGAGTATGAAATACGATAACGGACTCGTTGAGCAGAATGGCCTGTTTCCGTGCTGGGACACTGTACGTAAATCTATACTTCAGCAAAAAGCATACTCTGCCAGCCATAAGCAATGAACCTCTCCAGCCCAGGTCGTCTGGTTCCACATGACTGAAGGGAAAGGGTGGAGAGAAAGAACGGGAGGGAACAACACCAACCTGAGGGAAGAGGGGACGTTCATCTCGCTTCTTTTTTAGACAATCTGCCATTAGCCTCTTCATTGCTTTCGGGCAATTATTGCGCACTTTACTGATATCGGGCATCAAATAACCCCGTCCAACCATAAAGATTATCTATAAGAGAGTACAAGACAAACATGTACGATTCAGTGACATGGCGGGCAAGGAAAAAAAGTGTTGTCTTCACTCAATGTCTTTTAGCATGTTTCCTCCCTTGCATTTATTGACTTCTGATTCCGTAGACAGAACTGGTTATAGGCGACAGGACTCATCACCTCCCACTTCTCTTCACGTACAGTGATAACCCCCTCCCCACATCTCTGGTTCACTCACCTGATCGCGGTTATTGATGTTTGAATAGGGCAACTGCCCAGTCATCAATTCATACAGAACCACCCCAAAAGCATAGACATCTGACTGGAAACTATACGGGTTCTTGTCCTGCATGCGGATCACCTCAGGCGCCTGAGTGAAGGCAAAAAGTTAGCGTCAGTGCTCAGCATCAGATATCAATTGAAATTCAAGGAATTTATTGTAAATTCTTGAGCAGAGAGCCCAGCAGCGTGAGGAGGGAACTGAGTGAGGTGGAACAGAGTGAGAATTCTGTTAAGGAATTTGGTCAGAGTGGGAATTCGGAGCAGAGGGAAAGAGGTGCATAATTACAAAATATAAAAGTTATAAATATGTAAGCTGTAAAAAGGGCATATGAGACACTAGGCTTTATAAATAGGGGCATAGAATACAAGAGTCAGGAGGTTATGATTAACCTATATAAAACACTGGTTAGGGTTCAGTTAGAATACTGCGCCCAGTTCTGGGCACCAAACCATAGGAAGGATGTTAAGGCATTGGAAAGGGTGCAGAAGAGATTTACAAGGATGGTACCAGGAATGAGGGACCTTGATTATGAGGAAAGGCGAGAGAGGCTGGGATTATTCTCATTGGAGCAGAGAAGGTTATGAGGAGACCTAATAGAAGTTTTCAAAATCATGAGGGGATTTGATTGATTAGAAAGGGAAAACTGTTTCCACTGGTGGGTGGGTCGGTGACTCGAGGTCACAGATTTAAAATAGTTTCTAAAAGAAGCAGAGGGGAGGTGAGAAGAAATTTTTTCACGCAGTGAGTTGTTCAAATCTGGAACGCATTGCCTGAAAGGGTGGTGGAGGCCGGTTCAATAACAACTTTTAAAAACGCGGCGGATGGGTATTTGAGGAGGAGGGGTTTGCAGGGTTATCGGGAAAGGGCTGGGGAGTGGGATTGACATTGCATTACTCTTTTCAAAGAACCGGTACAGACTCGATGGGCCGAATGGCCTCTTTTTGGGCTGTACGATTCTATGATATCGAAATACTATAAAACATGTCTGGGAATATGGCAGGGCAGCTGAGACCCATGTGGGAACTCCAGGATGCTTTGTGTGCCCTGGACAAACGTGGATAGGAAGTGCCTCCGGCTGCTCGAGCTTGAGCTCAGAGTTTCTGAGCTCGAGGAGAGGCTGGTGTCACTACATAGCATACGGAAGACTGAAGAGTTCATGGATCAAACATTTCAGGAGGTGGTCACCCCACAACCACAGAAGGTTCAGAAGGAGAATGAGGGGTAACCACCCGGCATGGTAGGAAAAGGGGACGGGCTGTTCAGAAATCCCGTGAGAGTGTGGCACTCACAAACCAGTTCTCTGTACTGAATACCGGTCAGGGTGATGACACCTCTGGGGAGAGGAGTCAAAAGCAAATGGATGCACAGGGGGACACAGGGAAGAGTGTCAATGCAATTGTCATGGGGGACACAATGGTGAAAGGAGTAGACAGGATTTCTGCAACCATAGACATGACACTCGCATAGTATGTTAGTATGTTTCCTCCCTGGTGCCAGGGTTGAAGACATCACGGAACAGGTGCAAAACATTCTACAGGAGGAAGGGGAACATCCAGAAGTCGTGGTCCATGTTGAGATCCATCACATAGGGCTGAGATCCTACAGGGAGAGTATCAGAAGCTAGGAGAAACGCTAAAGTGTAGGACCTCAAAAGTGGTGATCTCTGGATTACTCCCAGTGCCCCGTACAAGTGATATCAAAACAGCAGGATCAAACACGTGAATGTATGGCTGGAGAAATGGTGCAGAAAAGAGGGCCTCAGGTTCCTGAATCATTGGGACTAGTTCTGGGGCAGGTGGGACCTGTACGAGTTGGGTGAGTTACACCTGGGACCAATACCTTCACAGAAAGGTTAACCAGTGCTGTGGGGAATAGTTTAAACTAATTTCAAGGGGAGATGGGAATCAGGATGTAGCATTAGAGAGGACAAACAAGTTACTGGGAGAGACAAATAATAAGGAGTAATACAGAAAAAGGAGGGATTAAATGATGGAGAAATGTAGAACAGATTAAGTCTTGGAGTGCATGTATGTAAATGCATGGAGTGTGACAAATAAGATTGGTGAGCTGCAGGCTCAAGTTGCCACATGGGGTTATGATGTAGTGGCAATAACGGAGACCTGGCTCAAACAAGGGCAGGAATGGGAGCTGAATATTCCTGGCTACAATGTATTTAGGAGGGATAGGGAGGGCAAAAAAGGAAGGGGGTGGCTCTAAAAAAAGCATATAGATACTAGGCTTTATAAATGCAAGTCAGGAAGTTATGATAAACCTTCGTAAAACTCTGGTTAGCTCTCAGCTACAGTACTGTGTTCAGTTCTGTGCACCACACTTTAGGAAGGATGTCAAGGAATTGGGAGAGGGTGCAAAGGAGATTTACCAGGATGGTACCAGAAATGAGTTGCCTGAAAGGCTCTTAATGCAGAATGCGTTGCCTGAAAAGCTCTTAAAACAACTTTTAAGAGAGGTAGTTAATTATTTAGGGAGGAGACAAGTTTGCAGGGCTATGGGGAGAGAACAGGGGAGTGGTACTGAATTGAATAGCTCTTTTCAAAGAGCCGGCACAGACATGATGGGCTGAATGGCCTCCTTCTCTGTTGTATAATTCTATGAAATTTACATGAATGTCAAAAACTTAAAAAATTGAAAAGGAATGATATAGAAGTGTATCACTGTAGTATCCTTCTACAAATGTGCACATTTTACAGTGCAGCTTGTGCAATATCAAATCCAACAATTATTATAATATATTACTGAGTACCATGAACAACAGAAAAACTGGAAATATTTCAGCACATCGAGACAAGAGTTAATCCAAAACAGGTCAATCACCATTCAAGACAGGAAGAATGATTGACATGTTGGGCAGAATACTGGATTAAAACTCAGGAAAATATAATAATAATCCTTACGTTTGGTGTAGCACCGTTCACGTCAGCAGGACGTCTTAAAGCGCTTTTCAAGATTTATTGTAAATATATTTAGAATACAGCACAAACATTTGGCCCAACTGGTCTATGCCGGGTGACTATGTTAAAGTAACCGTGTGTTTTGTGTATGAACGCAACAACCAATTTGCGCACAGCAACAACCTACAAACAGCTTTGAATTGAATGAACAATGTTATTTTGAGGGATTGTAGGCAAGGACACCAGGAAAAACTCCCTTGTCTGTCCAAATAGTGTCATGGGCTATTTAACGTTCACCTGAACAAGCAGTCACTGCTTAACTTCACATTCAAAGGATGGCATCTCTTATAATGCAGCACACCCCAGCATTGCATTGCCACCTTAGACTATGATGGTGAGGCCACAAAATCTGAGTCATAGGCTAGTACCAACTGAGCCAGAATAACGAACAGTTACCCTGATTAATGGCAACAGAGATATTCTCTTCATCTCTTTACCAAGTGGACGTTGTATGTTTTGTTTCGTAAAAGTGTACCAGACATATATAGGTTAACAGGTAATATTCACCATCCAGAGGATAGAACCAGATAGTTGTTCAAACTGGTGCGATCCACTCCACCGTGACTTCACTGTCGCCAGGCCAAAATCTCCAATCTTCACCGTTAGATCTTCGTGTAGAAAAATATCTTTAAAGCACAGTTTAAGGAACCATTTGTGGGTCAAATCCACAGATCGAAAGCCACAGACATCTCCCCTACTCGCAATTGTGTTTTGGTCAGCTGGGTGCCTACCATACATGGAAGGAAGCTTTACGTGCTTAAAAGAATCCAGAACCAAGTTCCACATGTGGATTAGAATTTCCCTGTGTAATGCAATGCACACTCTCCAAGAGGGATGCACCTGTTTACCTAATCCCAAAAAGTGTAAAGCATAGATTAGCAAGAGCCAAGGCTTGGGGAGTGTGTGTTGGTGGTACCTCTGGAGTTCAAACTGCTACAACAGTGTCAAACACTGTTCAGACAAGCTTCCATCTGATAATCCAGCTGGGACCACCTTTATATACAAATAAGGAATAAGTGAAGGGTACAACTAATGCATGTCCAAACAGGCAGGGTAGCCGACTGTGTATTGGTTTTCACAGCAGTTTTCTTCACCCCTTTACCAAATGGATGCTGTTTGTTTGTTTCGTAAAACATACCAGACATATATAGATTAACAGGTAGTGCTCACCATTCACAGAATAGAACCAGTTAGTTACCCACCTGGTTCTATTCTGTGGATGAATCCCTGAAAATGCATTGTAGATCATTTAGAAACTTTTCACTGTGCAGAAACAGTTATGGTAGAAATGAACAAAACACAATTTTAAAAAAAACCTCTTGCAATCAATTATCTGTTCAAAGAGAACCTAAAGCAACAAGCAAGGCTGCTCCTTCCAACAAACATCGAAAAGGAAATAGCTGCTAAATAATCGGAACTGACGCCAACATTGACAATTACGTATACAGAGAAAGACATCTTGGTGGAATTTAGAAATGTTTTCCTCTTTGTGTCTACATTTTGCTGCGTTAAATTGGCAATATAAACATGTAGTAATTTACTTCACTGGCATCATTGGAGAAAGTCCAGCAATGCACAATTCTAAATTGATCGCACATCATCATCAACAATCCCAATATGATGATGTTTCCAATTTTTACTGCTTGAGCCGAACTAACTGTATTACATAAGGAAAAGGCGCTCAAAGGCGTACTGATTCACGTGTCCTACTCCACCATTGAAAAGGATACTGTTACTCTTCAGATCTCTATGGATAATTGACTTTGCGTGCAGGTAGCTGTAACACAAGAACAATGATTAATTTCCAGATCGCTGACTGAGCGAGACAAATTGAACAGAAAATTGTAAGAGGCAGCCTTTTCACTGACAGCAGGCCAGATTATTTGGTTCATTTAAAATCTTACCCATTCAATTCTGTGAGCTATATCCAAGACAAATTCAAATGTGTTTTTTTTTGGAAAAAGAGAAAAGATTAGCTGCAATGCTCTTTCCCCTCCTTTCCTGAGCCTGGGTTTCAGTCCCGACAGAGTGAGTAGATGTAATGGAAAAAAGTGTTACCTCAATCTGAATCCAAATGAATATCAAGTCCACAGTATAAGAACTGCCTTCACAATTCATAACCATCAAACTGGCAATCAACAAACAGGGAGGTATAAGGCAAGGGTGGCAAAACAAGCATTTTTCAAGGAGACATCTGGATTAACTGCTGACATCGATTGTAAGCAAGCATGTGCGCACCCCTGCAACAACTGGGAACCAGGTTACTGAACAAGGTTAATGAGCATAAGAGCAGCCACTGTAATTATAAAGGTAATTGATTAAAGTCTCTGTCAATGAAGCTGGACTTACAGAAGAATAAAGGACACATGTTGCAAGCGCCAGAGACCGTATTCCCTATGCATGACTGGCAGAAATGAGACGGATTGAATCTAGTACCAGTCAGCCTGATACATATAACTGCAGTCAAACCTGTTTTCAGCAACCACTTAGGGAACTAGATCAAAGTGGCCTTTGTATGAAGGTCGCCTTGCTTGAGTAAGAGTTTGTTGGGTTTGAACAAATTAAAACAAAAATTCCATGGGTCACAAATTTCTGCATGCCTGCATTTAGTCCTAGCACATTTACCAACAAGGCCCGCCTCACTGGTGAGGTGGGAAGCTCCGGGCATCACATGGACTGCTCAGTGCGGCGCTGGTAAATGCGCTAGGAATCTAGCTGGTGGGCTGGCGGAAATTGATAATGCATCATCAGTCAGTACACTTAAGATCACTTTGAACTGGTCACTAAGAGGGTGTCTGTACACCAACAGGGCTGAAAAACAGTGGTCACTGGTTGTATTAGGCAGGTGGTTGCTGAACAGAGGTCTTTTTTTATGGAAAATCGGTCGGGTCTGTTTCAGGGTGGTTGTTGACAGCAAATGGTTCCTGAACAGAGGTAGCTGCTTTAACAGGTTTCACTGTATTTGAACAGCTGTGTTGATTCAGACAGCAGCTCAAATGGCGAATGTGGCAGCAGATTTTGTAGAGCAATGTCCTACAAACAACCAATACATGATATAAAAGGGAAAAACTGGGGGGGGGGGGGGATGGGGGGGAGCTCCAAATTGGATAGAGGTGATATGGGTTAAAGGTCTTCAGAAAGATAATTTTTCCAATTTCAATCAAACTTCAAAAAGTGTGTTCATCTCTAAGATGGCGCGGCATAACTGAAGGCAACCGAAATGACTCATTTCAATGATACCACACGGAATAAGCAAATTTTTGTCTCAAAAGGAAAAATTGGGACAAATGATATGGTGTTGATTATAGAGTTATTTGCAGAGTGAAACACAATGTAGTTTCTTTTTTTCAAAACAGCAAACTAAGACTGTCACTGGGAAATGGGAAAGACACTTCCTCGAAAGGCAATTCACCCACGGGATCATTTTCTCTCGTGCTACGCAGCTGAGCACTGGATTTTCTCCAACTATAGTTTAGTCGTGGAACATAGCTTGACTTACTCCATGCCTTGTGCAGTCTGTCGGGCGATGTCAATGAGTTTGATCATCTCAAATTTGGTCTCGATGATGTGCAGGTGATGGTAGAGACTGGAGCCCTCACACCACTGGGCAACAATGGCAAGCTGTGGTTTTGTCGTGTAACCCATAAACAGCAGGATGTTGACATGCCGGGTTTTTCTGAACAAAGAACAGTTTTAGTTAACTTAATAGCCAACTCGAGGCTGTGACTAACTCTACACTTGGGAAAGATACTATAACAGAGCAAATGAATCCTGTCCTGTACATCAATTTTGCAATAGAAGTGGAGGTTCTCTCAGGAGCAATTCTGATCTAAACTGAATTTATCTAAAAGCAGAAATTGACCTCAGTATATCCAATTTCTTTATTCTTCTGCAAAAAATAACAAAACCAATTTGCATTTATATTGCGCCCTTCACGCGGGACAGCATCTTGGAGCACGGCAAATAATCCCTGGCGTTTATCATTGTGCCTTTCACGTTTGGAGAACATCTCAAAATGCTTCGCAGGATTTACTGCAGTGTGTAATGACTGTACTTTGCAGGTAAACCTCTGATACTGTGTAAAATATTGATCCTAAGCAAAGCAAATGCACTTTCTACCTTGTTTAGTCCATGATAACACACCAGAAAATCCTGTTAGTCACTCAGCCATGTAGCTCAGTCTGGAAACCATCTCACTTATTCCACACTTCTTTCTCTTAAAATCCCTCCAATTCTTTTTCTGATCATTGCTTTGTGTCAGTTTGGTTCAGTTGTTAGCACTCTCGCCTCTGAATCAGAAGACTGTGGGCTCAAATTCAACGTCAGCACTTTGAACTCACACTCTCAGCTGAGGTCACAGTGCTGGAGTAACACTGCCTTGTTGGAGGTGCCAACCTTCAGATGAGTTGTAAACCGAAGTCTTGTTTGCCTATATACATGGACATTAATGATCTCACAGTATGATGCAAAAGTGAAAGGAGTTTCTCCTGGTATACTTGCCAACATGCCGCCAAATTGGCAGGACATCTCAGAGTGCTTTAGACTCTGGGCATCCAAGCTGGAATGGGGGGTGGGGGGGTGAAGAGGGGGAACCGAAGAGGAGAGGAGGGATGAGGAATGCTGACCGATAGTACGATCAAATAGATCAGTATCAAAGCGGGCTTTGAAATTGGGGAGGAGTGAGTCGGAGGGACTCCTGGATGGAGTTCCTGAGAATGGGGAGAATGGTTGAAAGCCTGTCCACCAATGTTGAGGTATACAGTGTGGGTATATGAAACAGGCAAATATTCGCTCAGCGAACATTCAGCCGAGAGTGGCCGGATCGGTTGGGTTGCAGGAGGTCACAGAGGTAAAATTGGGGCAGGCCATGGAGGGATTTGAAGGTGAGGACCATAATCTTGAACTCGACACCCTGGGGGAATGGGGAGCCAGTGGAGCTGAGCGAGGATGGCGGTGATGGAGTCACAGAGGCTGGTGAATATAATAATAATCCTTGCATTTGATATAGCACTTTTCACGTCTTCGAGACGTCTTTAAGCGCTTCGCAGAATACACTGCAAAGTGAACTGACTGGACATCTTGTAGGTAAAACGTGGCAGCCAACTGCACACAGCAGAGAGGGTGATGAAGAACTGGTCAGAGTTTGAAAGGGAGCGGACATTTTGGAGGCCGATGCAGGTAGGGGCAGCGTTGGGAGAGGGTGGAGGGGCTGAGGAATTTGCAGATTGTGGGTGGAAATTGACCGTGGGGTTTGAGTGGGGGAGGAGACTTGGGAAGGATGTGAAGTTGGGGGTTTGCCTTCTGGAGGTGGGGGAGGATCTTGGGGAGAGTAGGTGATGGGCCAGTCGGGGTGGCTGCTCTGGGACAACCATTGCCGAGTGCTGCAATGAGCACAGTGGAGAATACCTAGGCTGGAGCAGAGGGAGGTAGTAGAAGAGTCCAGGAGAGAAGGAAAGCGAGGAGGGTGGTGGGAGAAAAGGACAGAGGTTGAGTAGCGGAGGGTGGGGAGCCGAAATGGCGGCATTTTGAGAGGAGTTGGCTCGAATCAAGGCGGCAGCCAAAATGCACACACCAAGACCTGGACTGAACGATCAGCAGGTCATGAACGGGACTGAAGGAGACAGTGGTGGGGTGGGGGGTGGGGGGGAGAAGGGGAAGGGGGGGGAAGAGAGGTGATAGCACACATAGTCTTATTTATTAGGTTGGATAGAGTTCGCATTTATGTAGCACCCTTGACTCAGGATCGTGTCTCGGAGCACAAGGGTCCTGCCTGGTGTGCTGAGAACATTCCCCTTCCCACCTCCTTACCTGAGGACTCCCACTTCGTTCTTGAAAGCTTGCAACTGTTGAGGTGTTGGAGCTGTAACATTTAACATCTTCACTGCAACGTCACCTGTAAAAAGACAAATCCGATCACCCACCACGACTAGCTTGATGCATTTAACCCCAAAGCTATTCCATTTCCTGTCTACTCTTCAAAATATCAGCAAGGACAGAATCACTTCTGAACAAAAAGTCCGTCGAGCTAACAGTCCAATAGTCTAAAGCTACCATCTGCAGAAAATATCTGAAAGCTCAGGGGACTGGAGAAACTACAACAACAGGTTCCTTGACTGTAATTCTCAACGATCACCATTAGAGACATCTCTGTGCCTCACTTGAACCTTCAATGAGGATTTTGACAAGATCACAGTATTAGTTTGGAGCTCTTCATCCATCTGCCACCCTTCCTTTCTAGTCATTAATACCGTTTATACGGTCTGATCAAAGTCATTAATTACCCTCCGAGTTAAGAAGACCTTCCTGGTGTTTGTTCTGAAATTGCTCTTTGCAAACTCTAAAACTATGTCCTCTTGTTCAACTGACTTGGTGCATCTGGAAGTATTGCTCTGGATTTACTTTTTCAATCCCATTTAACATTTGATACATTTCCCTAAGTTTCTTTCGAGACTGAAGAGGTTAGTTTGTTGAATCGTTGCTCATAGCTTGTTTCTATAACACTGGGTATTTTCCTGGTTGCTTTCCTCTGCACTTCCTCCAGGGCCTGGGAAGGCCCCTTTAGTTGCAGTACTCAAGGTCACCAAATGGATCCACTACTTCCACACTTGAATTGGGTCTGGGTCACTGATGGGCACCAAGTCAAGAAGGGAACTGTCTGTTATGTACTCCCTGACACATTGAGCCAGGAGGTGTCATGCACTACATTTACAAACTTTCTTTCGCACTTGGGTAATCCCAGTTTATACGGTCTGATCAAAGTTCAATCTTCTTTTCTCACATACACTCCTAATATCATACAGTGACAAGTTGTTCTCCTTGCTTTGGCCTACAGTCTACAGCAACCCCCAAATGTTAAGTCTAGCAATTTTCTCATTCACCACCTCTTGCTACCTCTTGCTAAATAATTTCATACCATTGATCCTGCAATGCTGGCCCAACTACCTCAGCAAAAATTAGTTGGGGGGAGGAAGAGGGTGTAGGGGGTCCATCAGTCACCAGGGGAGTAAAAGGTGAGCTTCAGAAGCATTCTTCACCCAGAAGGTCATCAGGATGTGGAATGATTTGCCATGGGATGGCTGTTAGAACAGTTGATTTGGAGGCATTTGAAAGGGAATTAGACAAATATTGTACATGCAGAGGAAAGGTATTTGCAGGGATGGGGAACAAGCAGTGAATTAGAATTAGGATGGATAGCTTCTTGGGAGGAGCAAACATCAACATGAAATATTGGGTCAAATAGCCTCCTACCATGTCGTACATATCGATTATTCAATACCAGCTAACTAACCCTGCATGTATTTCCCTTTAAAGAAATGATGTCACTGACGGTTTCACCCAAAGTGCACTTCTGATCATTTGAATGGTTATTGGATGAATGCAACAAAAAAACACACATGTTTTACAGTTACTTCATACAGGCATGAAGTAACTCTTGGGAAGGTGCAGTGATTTTCTTCTCTTTTTGCTCTAAACATGCTTCAGGTTCCTTGAGAAGTGCAGGCACTGGTTGCAGTGCAATCTCTCACAAGGAATGCTTGGCAATTCTACTCGAGTCACATCACACCTACGTGCAGCATGGATGGAATGGAGCATTACTAGTGCTGGGATATAAATATGAGTGGGAGGCAAGGGGAAGATCAGGGGATAATCCTAGAAATTCAATGTCAAGTTGAAGGAAAAGTGGCTTAGCACCATCCTCAAAGATATAAAGAAATAACAATTGAATAATAATAATCCCTGCAGTTGTGGAACTACCTGATTCTGTTGGCCGCAATCTCGCCTGAACAAGCCCCACATCAGCTATTATACTTGCATAGTGTAGGCTGACTCCAATGCAGTTCTAGGGTGTGCTGCATTGTTGAGAGGTGTCACCCTACAAATGAGACCTTAATCCAAGGTCTCACCTGCCTGTTCACATCTCATCTGTAGGATTCCATCTCTTGTTAAAGATGCCACAGCATGACCTAAAAAGAAAAGGCAGTTTCTCTCTCCCGGTGTCCTGGCCAACCATCCCCAGATAAAATGCTAAGAAACGTATTGTCAAACATCTCAACGCAAAGTTGAATGTCCACTCTTGGGCACCAGCTTGAAACTGAGCTTGACACTCCAAATTTGAGGAAATTTACACCACATTGTGGAGGCTACAAGGGCACTGAGGTGGGCTCCAAACTCCAGACACCACCCTTAACTTGGAGCATGTGCACAAAAGACTTTTCTTGGAGAATTAAGATAATCAAAGCTGACAAATAAATAAATGCAAACATGCAATTCACTTCCCACCCACCAACACCACCAATTTCTCCAAATCTCCTGAGAATCATGCTCCATACCATGCCATTTTCCCTTATATACTGTTCCAAACGAGCCAGATCCTATCCTTTGACCCAGCGTGATTTGTCCTTCTGAAATCTCCCAGTCATCACTGGAGTCCCTTCGACCCAGAGTTTTCTAGAAAGCAAAATGTATGGGCATTAATAGAACACTCCAGCTTTCAATACCATTTATTTTTGCTTATGCAAAAAAAGAAAAAGTAAATAATCCACATTCTGTTAAACTTTCTTTTAAAAAAAAGATAAATCATAAGCTCCATAAAGCAGGATGCTTAACATCCCAAATTAGATTTAGTTTTCAAATATCTGAATATATATCAACTTACAAGATGTTTAATGAAACACTTCCCGGTTCATCATTCCTTCTGCACTTAGCCCAGCCCTGTCCCTCAATCCTTTAAAGGAATCAGTCTGCCCTATGGGCCATTACTTATTGAAAATGAAATCCTACCAGCCCTTGTCAACAGTCAAGGTACATCTTGATTTAGTTCTCTAGTCAAGCGAGCGAGGTACAAAAAAAGCTACTTTTTTGCAAGGTCGACACTATAGTATAGAAAGTACAAAGTTCACTCCAATTAAAAGCGGCCTTGTAATGAAATCCAGTGCAGTGGATCATGACATGGCCTTAACCCAAGTGGAGCAAACCACAATTTATAAAAATGCACGGAAAAAGCTGCAGAGGCAACAGTGCAGTGAAAATAGAAAAAATACTTGAGCAGTGGAAGTTATTTTGGAATATAAACAGAATAACAAAAAAAGGTAACGCTTCAGAAGAAACTTGAGAGTAGTCTGACTTAATTACTGCATGTAACCTATGTGAAAGGTTGAACATCATGCATTCAGTGCAGTGAAATTAAAGTGCGAACTCTGACGATCTTAAGGGTGGGAAACATACGTCCACAAGATGCCAAAGCATTGGATCAAGAGTGTGTTTGCTTACAAAGATTGTATTGTGATCTTTCTACAGTGAATTTAAGGGCCAAAAACTAGACCTACTATTCTGAGCACGTTTCATGAACATGGACAGCAGGGAGTACTAATTGGATCTTTCCATTTGGATGGGGCAGGAAACTTGCAGTCTGTGAAATGAGCTCCAAAAGAGCTGCATATTCAGGGTTGAATGTCAATTACCTCATATTGGCCTGTTTAGAGGGAACAAAGTACCAATCACATAACCCACCCAAACTTTGGAAATCACCCTGCAGTATGGGTGTGAGAGATGTCAGGCACACATAGTTTCAAACAGCATAAAGCTTCTGAGAGCTCACTAGTCATTTCCCCAACTATCTGAACATGGACTGAAACAATGTATAGGACATAGAATCATACAGTACAGAAGGAGGACATTCAGCCCATCGGGTCTGTGCCGGCTCTTTGAAAAGAGCTTTCAAATCAATCCCACTCTCCCGCGCTCTCCCCATAGCCCTGGAAACTTCCCAAACAATTATCTACTTCTCTCTTAAAAGTTATTATCGAATCGGCTTCCACTACTCTTTCAGGCAATGCATTCTAGATCCGAACAATTCACTGTGTGAAAAAATTTCTCCTCACCTCCCCTCTGTTTCTTTTAACAACTTGGGTGGAAAAAAGCTTCAGTAACACTTATTGTTCATGAATTCCTGAAGCAAACACTATCCTGCACTGTCGAACGCTAGCTCCATGATGGAAATCTATTATGGATGGACAGTGCTTTCATTTTTACCATTTTGTTCCGGTCTTCAGAAGATGAGGGTTTTCTTTCCCGGGGTTGTGTACCAGGTGATTTCTGCAATGCTTTAATACTGGTCATAGATCCAGGAAGCGATGCGGGTGGAGTGGCAGAAAGGCCCGATGCTGATCCTATTGAGGGAGGGAGGAGTTGATAAGGAAAGAAACAAGATAGGAATCTTTATTAAAGCAGCTGGTCACCTGAAAGACAAGGACATTAAGAATATGCCTGACAGTCCATGCAGAGTACAACACTGGTGGATGACCTCACAGCAAAGTGTCTGAAAAGGATAGTGACTGTGCTTGTAGCCAATGCTGTGACTTTGAGGAAGGGGATGGGGAAACGGGGGTGGCAAAAGAGCATCAAGTCCAGGTTAAAGCTGTGAATGTTTGAGAAGACAGGAGTTCGTAGTGTCGTTAGCCAACTTTACTGCAAATTAACACAAGGTTATGAACCTTGTTCAGTGTGCATGCAGTGTGCACCACAATGTGGGTGGTGTTAGAGCACTGTTCAAACTCTTTTAAGCTTTCGTGCCTACTTTTACCTGGGGTAAAAATATGACCTAGTCAGAATATAAATGTATAAGCAATTAAAATGAAAGTTGATACAATCTACCAGCACAACAGGATTCCTTCCCAATCAGGATGTCACAATTTTACGGGGGGATATTATACAAAGGATCATTGCAATGGTTACCAGTCGGTTTGTCTTAATAAAAGCTCTGGAATTGACTGAATCAATTGTCCAAATGAACTGTTAAGAACTTCTTTTTCCTGGGCAACAATACTGGGTTTTCACGCGCTGCGCGTCCTCGCTTTGAAAGCCCCACGGCCTCGCTCCTTCCTACCTCTGTGACCTTCTAACGCCATATCAACCTGACCACGCTCTCTGCTCAGCAGGTTCCATCCGGCCTGGTCCACGTCCCCACCTAGCCCGCCCCGCCATCGGCGGTCAGGCCTGCAGCCTCTCTGCCCTCACGCTTGGGAACTCCATGCCATTGTTCCTTTGCCTCGCTCCCTTCCTTGCCTCCTTCAAGGCACGTCTCAAGACCCTCCTCTTCAACTGTGCCTTCGGTAACCCACCTTCCCCTGCCCTCTACCCCTCTTGATCCCAACCCCCACCAGGGTCCAAATCCCTGAATGTCCAGAGCCTTGGCACGTCTTCCCAATGAGATAGATGCTATACAAAAATACTTGTGGTGGTTTTTGTGGTCTCATCCTCATCCCATAATCATTTTGCATTCCAACAGCTCACCATCTCTCTGATAACCTCCATCCTGATTACCCATCCTTCGGGTCGCCCCCTCTGCTTGGCTTTCATGCACTTTCTGTGTCTCCCTGTCCTAAACCCACCACTATTTCTGGCCTACCTTACAAATTCTAAGTCTTCCCTCTAGCCCCCTCTCTGACAGTAAATCCCATTTTAAAACTGCAACAACTTGCATTGATCTTGACCTCTTCGGATAGGATAAAATCTCAGAGCTCTGCACAATGCTATCTGACCTTCTGACTGTGCTTATGGTCAGCTCTCCCCTTCCCCTCTCTCGGCATCTGGCCCCATCATTGTGAAGCACTCTGAAACATTACCCCTTGTGATGGACGCACAATATGAATGCAAATTGTTGCAATAAGGAGATGACTAAGGACAGGCATGTGATGAATTGGACTATCTAAAGGTTCCACAAAACCTCCAGAAAAGATAACAATTGGGACCATAGGAATATCCACATCAACTTGTGACAGTTCAGTCACAATATTATTTCACACCGTTCAAGTTAATAAGGCCGTACCAAACGCTTCTAAATCAGATGTGTTTCTGGTACGGACCACTTGGATCATTTGTGCTGCTGATCCTTAATAAAGGCCCATAATTTATGGTGCTTATCCTTAATAAAGACACTTAATCCATACACCAGTGATCCTCAGATTATTGTGAAACAGAATCCATGTATATTGTGACATCCTGCTGGTCATGATGTAATTTCAAGCCCAGCATTGCTGCTCACACGAGTCTTTGTCTGGGCCGCAGAGGATAATGCAGCATCACCACACAACGTGGTACTTCTGCTCTAATGGGGCGTCACATCGCTTCACCAAAGGGTTGTGAGCAGCTTCCTTACTTTTCTGCTCTTAGCTAAAGGTGTCCACGTGAAAGCAGAAAGACCTTGAGTCGGAGACACTGGGCACCTCACCACACATCCTCCCTCCAGCTGATAGAGCAGGACGGTCTAGATCAAGGTTGTCAAACGTGACATTTGGCGGTCCACCCATTGGTTTCTAAAATGATCATGCGTGTGAATTTCATTCTGGTGCAAGAAAAGAAGAAAAAGTGCCAAGTGTCCGCACATAAATCACTGAAAATAAATTTCATTGTGGAGCTAAATGGCATTTTCACAGCCTGCCAGTATGTTTTGTTTCAATATGCTAAAAACACTGTATTTTGGAATTTAAATTAAATATTGAGACCATCATTATTTATTCAGACTTAGCAATAGCCTGCAGACTGACGACTTGGAATTGTGCAGAGGGGGTAATTGGTAAATTGCAAATTGGGATATTTGAGCAAATATACACATATAGAGACATTTTCTGGTACAGTATTATGTACATATAACCTTTTTTATGGTGCGGCCCACCAAATGAACAGTGTTGAGGCCAGATGAGTTTGACACGCCTGGTTTAGAATATAGACCATTCTAATAACTCTGCTCTGCAGATTGGGAAGGAGAATGTTCAAGAGATACAAGCCAGTTCAGGTCTCCCTGCCCATTCAAAGACAGACATAAAACTTCTTTCCACTTGGAGCACTTCCTTCCACTAAACTACTTGGGAAAAAACCCTCCAGTGGATTTCAACCCATTAGGAAATAAGTTCCGGGGATTAACAGTGCACAGGAATGTTTATTACAATAATGCTCACCTTACTTTATTCAGTTTGCTTTAAAGTAGGCACGTTAACTTAAAGGATTGAATATTTTTTAAACATATTCTGAGCACTTTGTCACATCAAATCCTTAACAAAAGAATCTCTCTCCTCTACCCCGTGATTCGTGTGGGGTGGAGAAAGGGTTCTGTTTTTAAAGAACTTGCAATCACGTCAAATGCATACACGGTATAGAGCATATGAAATATGCACATCAAAACAGAATACCTTTCAACCGATCCTGGCTGTACATCAAATCTTTATTCAGGAAGGAATTTTTTTCCCCAAAAGATTTAAGATCATCCAATGTAAAGGTGGCATGTAGGCTTGCATTTTACACGTCCAAAACAATAGAATTCTGGACTTTTACTGCTCTGATGTACAGCAGGAAAATGTAGCAAAAAGGCACACTGTCTCTTACTTAGATCTATGGAGTGATCAAAATCGAAAGAATGGTTAAGAAATGTGTTTGAAAAATGCACCAGTGGGAGATGGAATAATGACCAGAAACAGTATTTTGTCCAGAGTCCTCTTTTGAAATGTATGAACCTCAGCGTGAATCTCAATTTCATAATCCTTGCATTTACTTCCAGAAATATTTTGCAGAAAGTATTGATTAGTGTAAAGAAACCCTGGCTAATTTCATCATTTCTTTATCCCTGTAGGCTTCCTCAGCCCCCCCCACCCCACCCACGCTGCTACTGCCTTCTGCCACTATTCATCCTCCCTCAGAAGAACACATTGGGCACACTCATAGCCAGCATCACCATCCATTGCCACAAGCTGAGAGGAGGGCAGCAATCTTCTAGGAGTTGACTAAATAGAATCAGACGGCAAAGTTCTAGTTGCTATGCAATCTGCAAAGGCCAGGCTGAGAACTGGCAAGACTCACCCAGTGAAAGCAGCCAACTGAAGACAGGTGTTCAACTCTGCAATCTTCTGGCAGAGTTGTAATAAGCTGTCACAAGAGCTGCAAAGTCTGACCTACTGAAACCATGCCAAACTGTCTGCTCCTTCGGCTTTGTGGGTTCTGGCCTGCTCCATTCCCCCACCATGACCGCCCCATCCTTGGGGGTTGTGCCTTCAGACTTTCTAGCCTCATCCCCTGGAACTTCATACTGCTGCTCCGCCTCGGCCCCTCCCTTGCCTCCTTCAAGGCCGGAATCAAAATCTTCCTCTTTGACTGTGCCTTGGTCATCCTCCCTCCTCCCGCCCACCCCTCGTACCTCCAACCCCCAGCTCGGGTGCAAATTTTTCACTATTCAGTGCCTTGGGATGTCCTCCCGACGTGAAAGAAAGGCACTATACCAATACATTTTGTTCTTGTTCGTTTCCATCCCATCTTTATTGACTGATTGACCTGAGAGATGATCTGAACTTCACTGACTTGGGAATCCTCACTTGCCAACTCAAGTGCACATTATTTAAATAAATGATACATTTTGCAGTCATCCATCCAGAGCTTTGGCCACAACGTTGACTTGGATTATTTACACCCCAGCCCTTCTTTTAATAGGACACAGAGAACATGACTGCTTTTGGGAGATAGGTGCAATAGGATATTTATTTCCGCCTGGAGACGGGCTGGAAATCGCATAACTAAATGATCAATTGATATGGACGCCGAATGAAGAATATTTCAAATGTTACTTTCTCACTGGCAGGAATTCTTAGGAAATGTGAAAATCTTAGTGTAAAAGCATGGCAAACTGAGGTTTGACTGGTTAGAGGAAAGTCCTGTTTCCTCTCTGTGTCAGTGAGGGAAGCAACTATGCCTGCTCAACACCAAAACAGGAAGCTGTAAATTGATGGGCTTTAAAAGAGTCAATGCCCAAGGACCACGCAGAGATGACAAGAACCGTCACCTCAGAAGTATTAGCTGGGCAAGTTTTGTCAAGCATTAGACTTACTGATGTGCCGTCGCATTTTCAGTGGAATAGGAATGGATTGATACACACACATACATGTTGTGCAACTAAAGATTCAAGAGTTGAGATTCTGTGATGTAGGCGTGCCTCTCTTGGCATCCTTAATCTGAGATGGGCATTTATGTCACACAACTTCAAAAGCCTCATCTGCCTGGACTGTAAAAAAAATCAAGGCTGCATTCTGTGAGAGAATGCAATACAAATCAAAATTACATTTGTGTAACTCCCTTCACTTCGGGAGTCACTGGACAGTCAGGGATTTGGACCCGAGCTGGGGGTCAGGATCGGGGAGGGTGGAGGGCAGGGAGGGTAGAAGGGTGGCCAAAGGCTCAGTCGAAGAGGAGGGTTTTGAGACGTTGAAAATGAAAATCATAATGAGAGGAATGAAAAGAAAAGCTCCCAGTTTTTGAATTGAGATAATTTTTCCAGCTGGAGTCGACCGAACATAGTCTGCTACAACCGTCTCACAAGTGCCACCCAAATAGCAGGTTATTGTGAAATGGTAGCTTCACTCTCAGAATCATGGATAAGTTGAAAATCCACTTACCTAAATGGGTAGATTGTGCACTGACTCTGTAAATCAGCCAGTATCAGAAATGGCACGCAGCTTTCATAAGATTTTGGAGGCTAGGGCGATTCCTGTAAGATGTCCATCACTCAGATGCAACACAATCCTTTTTAATCACATTTTTTCATGGGATAAACTTAGGCTTTTCCGTTACAAGCTGCTAGCTAACATCATCAGGCTATGCCATGCAGTCATGCAGGCTGGGATCAGGTCACCTGAACTGATTTATATAACAGAGATAAAAACTCTAACATCTCCGTGACAAGTCTTAAAGAAAAAAAGTTTCCTAACCATGAACAGGTCTTAATTTCTGAGAATACACTCAGATTTCAAATTTTTTGCTTTCGAAGCATCATAAGGCAGAAAATGAGGGAGGGTAGGGGTAGGAGGGTGACCAAAGGTGCTCTCATTTGTTGTGAATTTGCTAGGAATTATAGCTTTGTAAGCGCTTGCTCGTAATTGTGCATCCCAAATATGAAATATTTAGCTTGGCGATGGGAGTTGAAATTAAATACTCCGTATTTTTTCTGTTGCCCAACTTTCGCACTACTTTTGCTGACAATTTACCGAGACAGGAAACCAGTCATGTAACGGTGTATTGGAGGGAGGGGAATAAACAATGTTGGTCCACACCTCAGAGGATGGCACAAATTCCAGATGTGTATGAAGACCATAATTCATCCAACTGCCCATTACAGAAGGTACGTACACCAAATGTTATATTTTCTGATGCTGCTTTCTCGCTCTTCAAACATGACAGAACATCTAGGCTATCTATCATTCTTGCTTGCTATTTTGTATCTGTGTCATATCCATTTCACTTCATTTCAATCAATCCACCTGCTCCTTCTATGTAAATGTACGATGAGCCATTGTTTCTTTTACAAACACGTTTAAATGCTTTGATGTATGATTATTCAAAATCAACAATGATCATTCGATAATTTACTATGATGTAGTACTAGTATTGTTCACTGGTATTGTGCATGGACCTACATATTTATTCCAATGCAACTTAGGACATTGTGTGAATACAGCCCACTGCCAATTGTTCAATATGAATCACACTTGTGGTAGAAAGATGGAACTGCCTAAACTTGGCAGAATACTGTTTCTGATCTAGTTGGCTGCTCCACACTGGAGATGCATTCGCAAGCCAGAGCACAAATAAACCTGCCTTCCTGCTGTCAGGCTGGATACAACTCTCAGCTTGGGTGACTAAGCTGGGTGAAGCAGCAGTGAGGTAAACTGTGTAGTGTAGCGGAATGTGCGTGAGATTGTGAGAACGATCGTGCATGGGTAAGTATGAGGAGCGGCGCCTAACTACCTCTGAATACAGGACCAGGTTCAAAATCAAAGATAATATCATTAGGATAGGAGTGTAACAAGGGGCTGGGAGTCCGGGAGTGGTACTTCCTGAGACACCTGACCGGCTGCGTCAAAGGGGCTGCGGGAAGAGAAAGGAAAAGGAGTAAAGGAGTTGAAAAGATTGTGCAAGTTGTATTCCTTCCTATTGGATTGAGGAAGGAAAATAAGAGGTAAAGGGAGCTGTGCAGTCACATTTGCATTTTGCTGGGGATCTTTCCCAATATAGTACAGTACAATGCATGTCCATCCATAATTCTTAATAATGACATTCCACACTACAAAACCCTTCAGTGCCCAGGACAAAGACCACAGTTGTACACTTTACAAATAATCTGGGGATCATACAAGTGGACAGATATCTGAGGCCCAATATTCACCTGGTCTTTGCCTGTGAGACCACTTTGTGTAAATATGTAGGATTGTGCAGACTGCGGAACATTCGTCAATTCAGTCTTTTCTTTTCTCTGCCGTTCTTTGAAAGTAAAAGGCTTCCAAGGACTGAACTGAAGAATTTTCCACAATTCCACGTGATTTTAAGATAAAATGATCTGACAGGATAAGACTGGGTGGATTTTCAGGTCTCAAGAGTCCATTAAGGCGACAATAGTTAAGAACTGACAAAGATTTGTTTTTGGACACAAGGTTTGTTTTCGGATGCCAGGACCTGCATTAGTTTAATTCAGTGCAAAATGCCACCTCATGTGCTAAAAACAAGATCGATGAAGGCCTCATTCCATTTTTATTCTCCATCAGTACATTTTCATCGTTGGTTGCGAAATTCACAGGAGCATTGCACAAGTTCCGACAATAGAAGATTTAGACAGAAGCAAAACATGAAACCAACTTTTTGCCATTGTCTTTTACCGTTCCAAACTGTGCTTGAACCATTTCAACCCGTTTCCAGGTGAGCAGTGGAAAGAAACCTGTGAGACTCTAACTTGTGAGTGTCAATCCTGCCTCACTATCAAAGGGGTCACTTTCTGTCTGCTACCACTAAACCCTCCAATATCTGAATAATCCTGACTGTTCATTGCCCACAAATACAGTTGTATATTCGGTCAGTCAGTCATGAGATGGGAAGGATGGCTGGGACAGTGTGGTTGCCACATGGCTGGTTTTTAACCGACCTGGATTTTTTTTACTGCCTTGTTGGTTGGCGGTAAAACAAAGCAATGTGCCATATATTTTGAGCAAATCACCTGTTAGTGTCATGATTCATGCTTTCATTCAAATCAGGGTTCTGGTGGTTAGTGCAATTTGTTTCTTTTCGAGCTGGACATTTAAAGGTCCCTTGGTATAATGTGCAGCTTAAATTGATATATTAGATAAATACAATTTTATCGATCATCAACCTGCACTTAAAGTAGCGATCAAGGAAATACCGTATAGATAAATATTTTTACTCGTCAAAATTTCGCAGAACTCCCAATTGTTTAAACCTTTTGCCGTGGACTAATTTTCACAAATGGCCCGCAATAAAAGAAATGAAAATAAGTTTAAATAAAGCGGGACGTAATAAATTAAAAAAAACCTTACTGTCTCTCTTACCTGTGAGCGCAGGAAGCATGCATACACCCATCTTGTGACAACGGTTTGAGTCGTTTTCTCGAGTTTCGGTGGTTTCCCGTGCTCACAGGTAAGGTTTTTGTTTGTTAATTATTACTCAAATTCATTTTCGCTCACACTGCAGGTTTCCCGATTTCCAGGCAATTATCACACGCATAAATATTTACATTGGGTAAGTCAGAAAGTCTTGAGAGGTATTCAGGTGTCCGAAGGCTGTGAAGAGGGGCTTTTTCAGTTGTTGGTCGTTTTTTTTTGGTTTGCGGCTGTATTTTTTGTGTCTCAAAGGTGGCAACGCTTAAGAGGAAGTACCTTTGGCATATCCAAAAAACAAAGATGTGGCACCAAGACTATGCCAACCCAGCTCGTGAAAGGCACACAGACCCGGTCTATTTGCACAGAACAACAGCACCCACTATTAATCTACTTGTATCCTTTCCAAATGTGGGAAGCAGGGAAGAGAAGTTTAAGGTAACTGGCAGTTTTTATGATAACCAATAAGCCGGTTTCATTCCTAAAAAACAATGCCCAAGGACACAGAACTTGACCCCAGATTATACAGCAGCTGCTAATGTTCTTTCCTTCCTGCTTATTCAAAGGATTGAGCTGTTTGAAACTCAATACTACCAAGAATGTCCATAGGCCATTCATTACCTTCGACATTTTAGAATATCATTCATCGGGAAGACACTTTCATGTCCACTTTGTGTCATTCCCATATGCATCAGAGACAGTATCCCTTTTGTTAACTTCCATTTAATATAGAGCCATAGCACGTTGTTGAGATGTCTCAAAGCGCTTCACAGGATATACTGTAAACTGCAGTGACTGTATTTAGTGGGCAAAATATGGCAGCCAATTGCACACAGAAGTGTCCCACAAAGTCATGGATTGGGTGACCATGATTTATTTTAGGTCAAACTGATTAATTGCATTAAAAGGTTAATGCAGCTTCCTTCTATTTCAATATTTATATCAAAGCAGCGCCAAGTACTGTGTCAAAAGAGCCCTTTCAATGGGAGAATTAATTCTTTCAATGGGATCGAATTCAATGGGAGAATTAGCCTCATTAGCAACAAACCACTGAAAAAACTCGACAACACACATGGTCGACCAACTGAAATAGCCAAGGGATTTAAAAGTCATTAAATTGAAAGGCACAGTACAAATTGGGGACGGGGAGTGGGGAGGGAGAGAGAATAAAGCACCTGCAGGTCAACAAAATGGATACTGTCTCTCTTTAAAACCTCCATCCCAAAGAAATCCCAACTGAGGTGATCAATACCTGATGCTCGATCAGTGTCACACTTACCTCCATCTCCTCGCGGCAGACCCTGATCTCGGATCAGACCCTAGAAGGGGAATAGGCAAAAGCGGTTTTCAATCATTGGATAAAAGTGAGGCATGTCAGCAATCAATTGACGAGGTTGATAAGTAGAGAACTGATCGCAAAGTCATGTGAACAAAGCTTTTTAACATTTATTTTTCTCTTTTGGACTCTCTAGCAAAAAGCACATGGAGAAGACCATCACTGTGCAAGGATATTTATTTGCACTGCAACGTTCATTCACTGCTTTTATCCTTATTAACACAGATTTATCAGCAAACTGTGATGCTTCAAACTGTAGTAACCAAGTGAAAAAAAAAAACCTTGCACTGCATAGTTCAAAATAAAATTGACACTGGTTAATCTGAAATTGGAAGATGTACTGGTACGCTATATGCTCATGATATAGTTTGTGTGATGCTGCATTTTAGAAACATTTATTGCCCCATTGATTGGTGAAGCGCAGCAGTCTCTTGCTTTTGCAAAATGCATTAAATGTCCTTCCTCTCCAACTCTCCTTGCCACACACCATTGTTACCAAAGGTAATTTGGTGACATGACCCTAAACATCTGTTGCTCTATGACTGGAAAGAGTATCAAAAGGACATCTCAACATAGCGCCTTTCACAGCAGGAGGATGTCTCAAGTACTCTGGGACGCTACCCTGCATGAAGGGCGCTATATAAGTGAAAGTTGTTGAGTAATAGAGAACCTTGAAGGGGGTGAGATTACTATAGCTCGCTTATCTTGGGGTTCAGGTGACTTTCATGAATTGCACTGATGTTGATGTCATTTGAGTGGTTTTGGGTGATTGATATTGATTATTTTTTTTTAACATCATAGACCTTCATTGAATCATATCTTGTGCACACATTATGATTTGTATTAGGTTTTACTCCATCTTAGTACCAATAGCCACTCAGAGTGGATGGCAAAAGCCAGTGAGATCAGCAATGGAGACCAGTAGGGCTGCTGCTTGATCAATGAATGTGACAATAATGTGACAAATATACTCAGAAATATGAAAGTATGCTTAGAAAAATACCAGGGTTGTGGTTGCAGAAACAGCATCAATGTATTTAAGAGAAAACTCGTACATGAAGGGGGAAGGTATCGGAGTGGTATCGGAGAGTGGAATAGGAGGGCTTGTGTGGAGAATAAACACTGCCATGGACTAGCTGGGTTTGTTCCCGTGCTGTATTGTAACCCTATATTGTTCATCACTTGGAAATTCGTATCATCCCATTTTAATTTAGCCTCTTGCTGAAGTGTAGAGTTTGTATTTCAAGCCAATTTTCTCGGAATCTTATGTTACAACCGCAATCCCACTGTGCACCGGAAATGATCATCGGTGATTTATGCATCTAAGTATTTGAGGCTATCAGTTGAAAAAACCATATTGTCCCAGTTTTCATTCCTTCTTCTGTGATGTTCAAACAAAAAGTAATGGTAAAGCGAAGGCCTTGTTTCTCACAGGCTACTTACATCAATGTTAACCTGCTCGATAGTGTTTAGGTGGACATTAGGTGCAGAGGAAGATCTGTCCCGTTGCCCAAACTGGTTACGTTGGTCTTCCTCAGTGGGTCTGAAATGCCCGGGGATTGGAATTGATTTTGTGGGGGAGGTGGTTGAGTGGCATAAGGACCTGCAAAGAATTCAGAGAAAAACCTTTAAACCCAATCAGCCATTGTATCTTTTCTCACCAGCAAGAAATCTGCACATATATTTTACACTTCTGCTGGAATTTGAGATATATGAGCTGTGGACCTCTTAAAGATCTGGGGTTTCAATACCAGACAACACAACTTCCATTTTTATGGAGCCATTCACATCAGGAGGACATTTCAACGAGCTTCACATTGTTGATTTAGGCACCCGAGCTGGAGATAATAATTGTGATAATAATCCGTGCATTTGATATAGTGTCTTATCACGCTGTTGAGACGTCTTAAAGCGCTTCTCAGAATATACCGTAAAATGAATTGAATGTACATCTTGTGGACGACACGCGGCAACCAATTGTTCACAGCAATGTCCCACAAACAGTTGTGGATTGAGTGACTTTTTTTAAAAAGGGATTATTACCCCCGGAAAGTGATCCGCCAATCAACTAACAACTGGGTTCCTACTTAGTGCGAGGCAAACAGAGGAGTGTGAAATAAGGAAACTTGTCTAAGGTTTCGCCCTGCTGGGAATTGGACCCAGGTCCTCTCACTTGTGAGGCGAGCGCGTTAAACCACTATGCTACAGGACTCCACATTATACTTTTGCTGGAATTTGACACTTATTATTGATAGCTGTGGATCTAATAAAGATCTGGTGTTTCAATACTATGCAATATAATTTACATTTTTATGGTGCCTTTCGCATCAGGAGGATGTCTCATCATGGTTCACATTGTTGGATTGGGCAGCCAAAGAGAATGGTGAGACGAAAGATAACTAAAGTATGGTCAAAGATGTGCGTCGAGGCAGGCTTTGAACGTGGGGAGGGAAGAAGCGATTTGGAGGGATTCCGGGATGGAGCGAGCTGGGGTAGAATGGCTGAGCAAAATCAGTAGATCTGTAGCACCGCCATCCATGGATGCACGCTTCATCTCACCGAGTCAGTCTGGAACCATGGCGTTTTATTTGATCCTCAACTGTCCTTTCTACCCCACATCCTGCCTTCCCCCACCTCTGCAACATTACCCGGCTCCCCCACTGCTTCACCCCTCAGGCGGCCGAAACACTCATCCACGCATTCATCATATCTAGGCTCGACTAAGCCAATTCCCTGTTTGTCGGCCTTCCCAACTCTTCCCTCCACAAGCTGCAGATCATCCAGAACTCTGCAGCTTGTGTCCTTTCCCGCACCAGGCTCCATGAACCCATCACCCCCTCCCCTCCTCAGGATAGAGTTCAAAATCCTCATCCTCACCTTCAAGACCATGGCTTTGCCCCTTCCTACGTCTGAGATCTGCTGACAGCTCCCTTCCCTCAGAAGGCTCTGGCCTGCTCCACATCCCCACCCGGCCCAACCCACTATCAGCGGTCAGGCTTCAGGTTTTCTGTCCCCACCCCATGGAATTGCAACACATATTCCCTTTGCCTCACTCCCACTCTTGCCTCCTACAAGGCGCATCTCAAAACCCTCCTCTTCAACCGAGCCTTCCTACCCTCACTGCCCTCCACCCTCCCCGATCCCGACCTGCAGCTCGGGTCCAAATCCCTGCTGGCCAGCGCCTTGATACGTCCTACTGACCTGAAAGGCGCTGAACAAATGTAATTTTGTATTGTATCTAGCTATGTATCCAAGGCTGGTTCTTTGATCACTATTGCTGACAAATGCAGAGTCACTGCACAATCCATTAAATCATACGAGTCTCCTAAAGTGAAAGGCTCCATCTCAAATACAAGCATTATTATTCTCCTGACAGTGAAGATTTGGTATTTACCACCACTTCCAGGTCTTTACAAGTCGCCCTTTGGCAATTTAATCCTGCCCATTTTTGTCGACAAATCCACAAATCTTTCCATAAAGGTCTGCAGCGTTCTGCTCTCACTGTTTGGATATTCAGCAGTATTGACAACCGTACATGAAACACTGATGTCCAGTTCATAAATATAAATTAGAAACAATCCCACGGCTCCACTTTGCACCTACCCTCACTGTGACTTTACCTCTCGGGAATACTCTCTGTTTCCTATTTTTATAATACCTTACCCATTGTCAGATTCTACACTGGATACCAGACTTTTATTTGAATTAGAAGTCTTTCATGAAGGAATTTTTCAGAAGATTTCTGAAAGCCAACTATAAGATTGCCATACTTCGGTGTCAACCTGGCTCAGTTGGTAGCACTCTTGCCTTGCAGACCAAAGTTGAAGGTTTCAAGGCCATTTGCTCATAGCAATGTCCCACAAATAGCCATGAACTGAGTGACCAATTTTATCTGGGGGGGGGGGATTGTTGGGGAGGACACTGGGAGAAACGCCTTTCTCTTTTTGAGCAGTACCTTTTGATTTTTAACGTCCACCTAAAGAGGCACAGACGTGACCTCACATTGTACGTCTCATGTGATGGCACTGCTCTGGAATGTCAGCCTACCCTGTGACCAAAGTCCCGACATTAGGCTTGAACCCAGAGATAAAATGGATCAGTGACATTGGGAAGTTGCAGTGACTTCTAGAACTGTAGAAATAAACCGTACAGCAGGAGCACAGCGTACAGCGAGATTCACTGTTCTGGTGTTGGTGTTTCATACTACAACAAAAACCCGCCGGGGCAACTCGATTCAAAGAATTATATGGAATACTTACCCGGCAGAGTCAGAGGGCGGCACTGAAGGATATATCCCAGAACCTGGTGGAGTTCCTCCAGAAGATATTTCATCTTGTGCAATGGGATGGTTCTCATAGATCCGGGAAAGAATTAACAAGCTGTGGAAGGAAAGAAAGCACAGATAAGGAGGAGGAAATGGAAGATGGGGACAGAAAGATCTCGAGGAAGGTAAACTTGCTAAGCAATCAGTGGGTGAGTGTCCTGTGAGTTTTCCTTGGTTGAAGATACCACGACTACTCCCATTAAAAATTATAATTCCTACATTTGATAAAGTGCCTTTTGCTTTGGGAGGATGTCTCAATTACGGCAATTATAATCATCCTTGCATTTGATGGAGTGCCTTTCACGTTGGGAGGAATGTCTCAAAGTACTTCAGCGGATTTTACTGCAAGGTGCAGTGACTGTTTTGTTCTTGTGGGGGTGGGGGGGGGGGGGGGAGGGGATTTCTTTTGAAGAATAAAGTGCAACTCAAGCAAAGGCTTTACCCAAAGTATCTTAGGAAAGCTCTGTAAATGATAATGATAATGGGAATTGGACCGGGACTGCCCTGGCTCATTTCACGCCACAGGGATGCAGACAAAATTATTTTAAATGACTGCAATTTACAATAATGTAGTCCATCAGAAAGCTAGGCAGCAGCTTATCAATGTGTCAAACACATTCCTGTTAAATCTAGATATATATACTTGTATAGGGCCTATACAAGTATAGGGCCTTTCACATTGGGAGAAGTCCCAAAGGCACTGAACAGTCAGGTATTTGGACCTGAGCAGGAGGGGTGGAGGGCAGGGATAGGAGGATGACCGAAGGTGCGGCCGAAGAGGAGGATCTTGAGACCTGCCTTGAAGGAGGCAAGGGAGGAAGGCGATGGGGCTACGAGATGGAGTTCCAAAGGGTGGGAGCAGAGAGGCTGAAGACCCGACCTCTGATGGTGGGGACGAGGAGCAGGCCAGACGGAGCCTGCTGAACAGAGGGAGCAGACAGGTTAATATGGCATTAGCAGCTCACAGAAGTAGGAGGGCTTTCAAGGCCTATATTGTAAGTAGGAACCGGATTGTTAGTTGATTGGCGGATCACGTTTCCGGGGGTAATGATCCCTCCAAAAAAGTTTTTTTTTACAATAATATTTGGTCACTAAATGTACGACTGTGTGTGGGACACTGTTGTGTACATTTGGCTGCTGCGTTTCACCCACAAAATATACAGTCACTGCATTTTACAGTATAATCTGTGAAGCGTTTTGAGACGTCTCAACGATGTGATAAGGCAATATATCAAATGCAAGGATTATTATTTATTATTATAAGGCGAGGACAAGGATTTTGAACTCTATACTCTGGAAGATGGGGAGCCAGTGGAGCCGGCGAGGATGGCGTGATGGGGTCACGAGCCTGGTGCGGGAGAGGACACGGGCTGCAGAGTTCTGAATGATCTGCAGCTTGGGAAGGCCAACAAGTTAGCGTAGTCGAGCCTCGATGTAATAAATACACGGATGAGGATTTTGGCTGCTTTAAGGGAGAGGGTGTGGCGGAACTGGGCAATGTTGTGGAGGTAGGATAAGGCAGAATGAACAAACCAAATTGCGACATGCTTGGCTGTATTGGCCAGTATTCACTGATTCACTGTATGGAAAGTAGCCAAGGATTTTAAATGGGAATGAGAAAGTACACTCAAAACCTGCATAAAGAACAAGTTTTGAGTTTACTTTCTCAAAACAATTTGAAATTGTAGGCAGCTTTACAAGGTCTCTCAGAGATATCTCTTTTTAAGGCTGAAGAGCTCTAACTCAGCTTATCGTTGCTCACAACCAGGTAAATAGAAAAGTGCGGCTGCAATTTTTCCATGGAATCAGCTACAAACACCTCCTCCACTACAAACCTACAAAAGTAGTTTGCTCGGCCCTGGGCCTCTCCTCTGTATGCATGTTTGTAAATTTTTCTCTGTGTCTGTCTGTGAGTGTGTGTGAGGGTGTGTCTGTCTCTCTGTAAGTATGTCTCTCTCTCTATGTATCTGTGAGTGGGCCACCCAGAAAGCAACAATCTAATATGGGTTATTTCTTCATGTTTAGTTTTTATTCATTAAGTGAAAAGAAATCTCCCCAAATTTGAAAATTTTTCCTGTAAACATTTCCACAATTTTCTATTTGCTCTGCTCATAGCACTGTGGAGTCCTGCAGCTCAGCGGTTAGAACACTCGCCTCGCAAGCGAGAGACCTGGGTTTGATTCCCAGCAGGGTGAAACGTTGGGCAAGTTTCATTACTCCACATGCCTGTTTACCAAGCGGTAAGTAGGAACCCGGTTATTAGTCGATTGGCGGATCTCTTTTCTAGGGGTAACAATTCCTTCAAAAAAATAAGAATAATATGGTCATTCAATCCACAACTGTTTCTACGACACGGCTATGTGCAATTGGCCTTTTGGCCCCAAAATATACAGTCAATCACTTTACAGTAAATTCTGTGAAGTGCTTTGAGACGTCTCGAAGATGTGATAAGACGCCATATCAAATGTAAGGATTATTATTATCACCCTCTCTTCTCCACGTTAGCAAGTTTTACACTCTGTTTGAAATAGGTTTCCTGTTGTCCTCGAGATTTGAAGTTGACACAAAATGACAGTCCTCTGATTGGAAATGTCTCAACAGGGCAGCATCAGTTTTGTATTCTGATTAACGTTCATGGTGCTTGAAGGCCAGCAATGCATATGTTGGAATAGTACACTGATCACTGTTCTTACATATGTAGTGCTCCTCTAAATCTTGCTCACTGGTGCACATTGGAACTGGTTTGAATAAATTATGATTGGTTGTCTTTTGTAACTATCGTCAGGCCAGACTTGTGTTTCTGTCCGCTCATTTATGGGAAAAACCCATTTTGTGACAAAATGCAGTTTGGTGAGTGAAAAAGAGTGTGTTTTAATCTTATAAAAATTAACTTAATGACAGTATGAGAAGGGTCGAGTGGCGGTGAACAGATTGTGGAAACCCTGACAACTGCCCGTCCTGGTGGTTGCACTTAAACAGTTGAGGGATGATCTAATTGTGGTGTTTAAAATAATTTAGGGATTTGATAGGGTAGATACAGACAAATTATGTCCTCTGATGGGGGAATCCAGAACAAGGGGGCATAATCTTAAATTAAAGGGAGGTCATTTAGGAGTGAAAGCAGGAAACACTTGTTCACCCAAAGGGTAGTGAAAATCTGGAACTCTCTCCCCGAAAAGGTTGTGGATGCTGGATCCATTCATATTTTCAAGACTGAGGTTGATAGATTTTTGATAGTCAAAGTATTAAGGGACATGGAGCGAAGGTGGTTAAATAGAGATGAGGTACAGATCAGCCATGATCTAATAGAATGGTGGAACAGGCTCGATGGGATGAATGGCCTAATCCTGTTCCTATGGTCACTAAAGGTCGTCAAAATGCTGCCAAACAAAGTGAATATATTGGCATCCGTTCCTGCTGGGAAAGTGACAGATCGAAGGTTCAACTGACTTCATTTCAGAACCTCAGGAGTTACTGTCCGTTGGTCAGTGCAGCAGCTTACTATCACTCTACCATCACTCCTCCAAAGCACCATACCAATTATCTATGATGGCAACACTCATTCTTTAGCTTCTTGTGAATTAAAATTTTTAAATTCCTGAGCGTTGGCATATGTCAGAAGCCTCTCTCTCCTTTTTACAAGCAGCAATAAAAAAAAGACTTGGCGCATGTTGAATGTCCACCTACAGCTGCTGTACACAGAGTGTTCCGCCAGTCAAAGTTAACTCTCGACAGGGCACTTACCGATTCACCAAAATCTTAGCCTTAAGACTATTGCCTTAAAGTTTAAGATGGTGCAGAATTTTGAAAAAAAATCCTAATTTCAGTCTTGGTTTGGAAGCTGGTTCCTTGCAGCTAATTATAAGAAAAATCAAATTTGGTCATAATGTCTTATCATGTCGTCAAAACACCTCAAAGATCTTCAGGGGATTTACTGTGAAGTATAGTGTCATGTATATATTTACAGCGCAAAGCGGCAGCCAATTTATGCACAAAGAACCATGAAGTGAATGATCTCTTTTATCTGAGAGACTGATGACAGGTTGACACTGGGTTATGGAATCTTTAATGTCCACCTGAACAGAATGATGGGACTTCGCTTTTATAACATCTCATATGTTGATAATGTAGCACTGCAGACAGAGGGGCAGCCCAGACGAGAAGCTGAAAGGTCCAATGTGGGGCCATAATATTTTTAAAGTTACGAAATAAAAAACTTTCTGCAAATTTTTTGTTGAAAATTTCAGCAGGTTCTTAAATTCATAAGTTCTATTTCTGTCTCTCTGAAAAGGTCTTAAGGTTAAGAATGGGATAAATTTTGAGGGGCCTCTGAAACTGCCACCTGGGCGTGCAAACATTTGCACCATAGCAAAGGAGCATGGTTTCAAACTTAGCTATTCGCATAAAGTGAGAGGTAAAAATTGGCCATTGACTTCACGACTGTTTGTGGAACATAGCAGCGAGCAATTTGGCTGCCGCATTCATAGTGCTTTGAGAGGTTTTGACGATGTGATAAGGAGATATACTAAATACAAGGATTATTATTATCAACAGGTGCCTGAGCTACTTGTCAGTGGATGAGCTGAACCCTTTCTAAAACTGGGATTCACTTATGCAGCCCCAAGACATGCACTATTATCCCAGCTGTTTCTGGGGATCATGCAGGTAACATACAGCTGAACATATTATCTTGAAAAAATGGAAGAAGCAAAGCAAATCCAGTGGCAATCAGCCCCTTTAAATCCAACCACTGACATCAACAGATAATGAGAGGACTGAGGGATGTCAACGCACGTTTTGACTGAAGAGCATGCAAAGAAAAACTGCACGGAGCCAGGAAGACAGAAAACTGTGCAAGAACGCGTGAAACATTAATTGCTGCCACTTAACAATTAGAACAACAAATCACAAGAAATAATCGCAATGAAGGGCGAATTTGGTAACTTTCCTTCCTGTTGAATGTTGGCCGGTCACGAGACTCACAGGATGAAAATCTCTTAATGGGGTAGGTCCTAATAAACCCGCTAAAATAACTTCTATCTGTTTGAGCACTGCACTGCAGTGGGTGGTTCTCATTCAGTTTGCACATGGTAAGAAGGAGGAGTTTTTTTTAAATAGAAAAACTTCAAGGACAATATAGGCTTATGCCACATCTCCACGTGTCATAAAACTGTGAGTCTGCTTAACTGCAAAGAGGCTGAGGTTGGAAACTGACTTTGGAGTGCTGCGAATCTTGCAAATGCACACATACATTTCAACCACAGCGTGATTTTTCTCGAGTGCCTCTATTACCAACAGCAGCAGTTGATGAGAGATCTGCTACAGGGAAGGTGCAACGTTGAAGAGAAAGAGGAACAAAGAGAAAGAAAGAGAGAGAGGAGAGAGAGATGGACAGAAGGATCAGTCAGACCTTTAGCCTCTCTGCCCCATCACTTGGAACTCCATCCTACAGTCCCTTTGTGTCGCTCCCTCCCTTGCCCTCGTCAAGGCCCATTTCAAGACCATTCTCTTCAACTGCGCCTTTGGTCACCTGCTGAAGCCTACCCTCCCTGACTTCTACCTCTCCTGATCCAAACCCCCAGCTCGGGTCCAAATCCAGACTTGAGACGTCCTCCTGACATGAAAGACGCTGTACAAATGTAATTTGTTATTGTTTTGGATACAAAGCCAGTGCAATTATCAGCTCATCATATTAAATGCAATAAACAATTCTATGCAAAAAATATTTCTCCACCAAGTGCAGAAAGGAAGGGGGTGAGAAGGCAGATAGAAAAGAAAAGCATACTTTATGTGTGTGCGTGTGAGAGAGACAGACAGGATCTAGCACAATGTTGCAACAGTGACAGTACAGCTGATGGAGAAAGCTTTTAATAATAATAACAATCCTTGCATTTGATATAGCACTTTTCACGTCTTCTCGACGTCTCAAAGCGCTTCACGAATAGACTGTAAAGTGAATTGACTGTACATTTGTGGGTGAAATGCGGCAGCCAATTGTGCACAGCAGTGCCCCACAAACAGTCGTGGATTGAAAATGACCAATTTATAATTGTTTTGTTTTGGAGGAATTATTATTAGCTGTGTGGAGTAAGGAAACTTGCCCAAGGTTTTGCCCTGCCTGGAATTGTCTCGCTTGCAAGGCGAGTGCTCTAACCACTGAGCTACAGGACTCCACTGTAGCTCAGTGGTTTTAGCTTGTATTGTATGTTTTTCAAGGGATGACCTGATATTTGCACTGTTTTCATATCCACTATGGGACCAGTTGCAGGTGGTGCAAATATCAGACTCTGATATTTGCACAACTTTACATTACACTGTTATGTAATTATTTTTGTCCTCTCTATTTTGGTCCTTAAAATGCAAGCTCCAAACTTGGGTCCAGACCTGAAACAAAACTCTTGATGGAGATGATCTGACAAACTAAACATCACTAAGTGGATGGGACTTCTCCCCATGGTGCCAATGTACTTACTCCAGCTGATCGATATTCACACACATGAGTGGGACCTCTGTGCTGCAGCGCTGGTGGAATTTGTAGCCACATGTTTGACAGCGGAAACCCTGGAACAGCAGCTTACGGCAAAAATCACAGAACGCCAGCGTGAAAAATGTTTTTCGAACCTGCAAGAGGAGGTGGGACAAAAATCACAGAGGAAAGTCAACCTCACGAGTGCCTGGTTTTGGATAAAGTATAATTAGCTTCTCTGAAAAAGGAAACTTGGTTCATCTGAGGGCAAAGTGGTCCATTCAGCAAACAGGTGACACAGGTCTGTCTATTGGCGCCAACTCCCTGGGGATACTGGGAATGTTAACACGTGGGAAACGTCAGCCATCTCACCTGAACGTAGAAGTTTTCAATGGCAAACTTACTTCCCAATTCTACTCCAGTTTGCTTTATATGGAGACGGTGCTTGGGGAGGCCGACCTGAACACAGAAATAACTAATGAGGACTTGGATGGCGACGACGGGCAAACAGCCTGTTCCTCCATCTCCTGCATTACCACACTTACAATCAGGGCAATCGAAAATCCTGTGCAGGGCGCACCTCACCCCAGCACTGACGCATATTTGGCTGGCTGGAGGAGCTGCAGAGAAGTGACTTCTTGTGCCTTCTGCTTGCGAGAATACTGGGCAAAATCAAATACAGGGATTTACAGGAGATCCCAACACCGGGATTGAGCACCTGGAATCCTGATAATCCATCACCTTTTCAGCTTTTATTGACTTCTTGCCTTGTACTGCCCACCAGTTCATTCAGCTGAGCCAGTGCTCTCTGAGATCAGAAATGTTGCAAAATGTCACATAATTCTCTGCCCATAAATTGTATACTGACCCACATTAAGCTCTGTACTCCTATCACACCAGTCCTCATCAGACTCTACTGGTTCCCTATCACAGAAAGGATCCTCTCACTCGTCAACAAATGTCTTCACCCCGGCACCCCCTACCTTTCTGACCTACTTTCTCTAACCGATGGCTTTGACCTTCTGCTCGGCCCTCTTCCCCTCTTCTCCCCATCAGTGGCCATGCTTTCAATCAATACGCCCTGAAGCTTTGGAATTTTCTCCCCCAATCCCTCCGCCTTGCCCCACCTTCCCCTCATTTAGACACGAGACTGAAGACTTTCCTCTTTGACCATGCTTAGTCAACCCTCCCTCCACCCGGCTTGGCATTAGGCTCTGATAAGCGTTCCGAGATGCTGTCCCGCATGAATGACGCTATATAAATTCCAATTGTTGTCGGCCATATAGGAATTACAGCTGACCTGCTTTCTTCTCCCTTGGGCACACAACTGACCGAGAGGCTGGCTGATCATGTAAAACATGACCTCAGAATTACATTTTCTGTTTAACCACCCCCCCACCCTTCAATTCTCCCTGTTCTGATGCAGAACGCAGACGGTAAAGCTCACCCACGTCTAACACTAATCACTGATCGCCTGAGTCGGGCTGTGAACCTCCAGTATCCACCTTACGCTCCCTTTCTGTCTCATTTTTGGAGTCTTTGAAAATGAGAAGCGTCACTAATTTGGGGAACATGAGTGAATAAACACGTTCTCAAAGTGTGTCTAGTGTAATAATTATAGTCAAAGGCAAAACTTGTGTGTTTTGTATGAAAGTTGTCAACAAAATCTTAAACCTCGTGTTTCCAAACATATACTACTGGTAGCGCTCTAGAATCAGATGATGTGAGTTCAAGACCCATGTAGGGACTTTGAACTCATGTACTTGAGGCTGACACTCCAATGCAGTCCTGGGGATACCCTGCATTGACGAAAGTACCATCCTTTGGATGAGATGCTAAGCAGAGATCCCGTCTGCCTTTTAGGTGGATCTACCCGAAAAGAAAAGGGAGCTTCTCCCAGTTTCCTGGTTACCTATCCTTCAAATAAAATTGGTCATTGGAACAAAGAGGGTTGATGTTTTTAAAATTATGAGGGGTTTTGATAGTCAGTTGGGAGAAATTATTTCCTGGTCGGTGAGTTAATGGCTGGAGGGCATCAATTAAAAAATAGTTAGCAAATGGGCAGGTTTGGAGAAATCATTTCATGCACAGAGTGGTGAGGAAATGAAATATCTTGTCAAGGAGTGGTGGTTGAGGCAGAATCCATTTGAGCCTTCAAAAAGGAACTGCATAAATGCCTAAAAAGGAAGAAACAACAAGGAAATCGTGCGCAGTAAATGATGGTTGTAATGCACATTTTTATGTGGATTGTGAAGACTTTTGAGACGTCTGTCACCCAACATGAAAGGCGCAGTATCAAATACAAAGAATATTATTAGAATTTTATAAATACTGTAACTATAAATACTGCACATTTCTGCTCAAAAAATATTGAAGAGCCATGATTTCCTCTGTACTTCTTCCAAATCAATTTCCAGTCCACCAATAAGACAATGGAACAGTAGCATGACCCTATCTGATCTCAATGGAAATTCACAGCATTACAACCATCATTTACTGCGCACGATTTCCAAATGATAGGAACAACTGAAATACCTAAAAAATTACATGAACTGGGATAAATTTGAGTGAGCAAAAGCACAGACAAGCCATTTTTCAACAAGAATTGAAAATTTATGCAGTGCTTTTCACTGATGTCTCACAGTGCTTCGCAAGAACAACAATTTTCATTTATATCGTGCCTTCAGAGCGCTTTGAGGAGCAGACTGCAAACCCCAGCTTGGGGGGTGAGGAGTTGAGGTGTATGTCTGCGTGTATGAGTGTATGGGTGATTGGGTGGGGGTAACCAAACGCCACAAAGATGGGGAGGAAGGCGTGAGGTAAAGAGACTCAGGGATGGAATTCCAAAGAGCAGGAGCAGATTGGCTGAAAGCACGTTTGCATTTATACTGTGCCTTTCACGTCGGGAGGACGTCTCCAAGCACTTCATACACTGACTGTGAGTCTGGTTGGAGGCATGGGTGGGGTAGTGGCTGAGGTGAGGAAAAGTTGCTGAAAGCAAAGTCAAATGACTGAAGGCAGGGTTTAAAGTTGGGGAGGGAGAGGCACATCAGGGGGACTCTGGAGATCTGGAGAGCCGGGTGAAATGGCTGAAAGTTTGCCCATTGGAATAGAAAACTGGGAGTTCAGGGTTTGCCCGTGCCTGTAAACCAGGTAAGATAGGTCCACAAAGTACATGTAAGGAATCCTATCAAGGTTGAAGCCATTTAATTCTGGTACTCACAAAGTTGTGGGTTGTTAGGGGAACATGCTCCAACACCTCCACTTGAAGCTCCTCTCCAGTTAACCAGGACATATCGGTGTCCCAGCCAATAGGTTTCTTCTCTCTAAACAAAAACAGAAGCACACGTATTGAAGGGAATTTGAAGCGCAAAACAGAACTATGAATCCAGCTCAACTGTTTGTGAGGACATGAAAGACCAAACAGAAGGACTGCACGAAGTATAATGTAACCTGATGATTATGACCAATAATTGATCCACAATTAACGTTGTAATCCAGCGTGACGGACACCTGGGAGTCATTTAGAGCTGACATTAAAAATCAGACCACAAACAACTCCGTCATATACCCACACTGTGAAATGTTTGATTTCATTAATATCTGTGATGTGCCTTTTTACACCAGAAAGGATATCAATTGCCAGCACACTGCACTTGTGATACATCACACTGTATGTTGTGGGGGGGTGGGGAAGGGAGGGGAGAATAGACAGGTCTTTATTTGTGGTTAGAGAGGAAAGAATCCACTGATCACCTCTTCTCACCAGCACACGCACATGATCAGGTAAAGTGTGACTTTGTTTCACAACAACCTTTCCATCCAAGTTGTTTAAATGCGTGCATACATCTCCACACTTCCTAGCAGCCAAAAATGCAGCACAGTTGTTGATACTCTCAAAGCAAACCTGGACAAAGACAACATTAGACACAGACGAGTGCGACAAGCATAAAAGGTTAGCTTTCTCAGGTTTTCAGAAATGTCAATTTCCTAACAGCTATCAATCCTGGAAAAGCACAGCCACAAATCATTTGTCACAAACCCACTGCTCACCATGTGGATTGCAAGGAGTTCCTGGTACCCTCATGTATGCGGATGACACCCAACTCTACCTCTCTGCTTCCACTCTGAATTCCAGGACTCCTGGTATCCTGACTGACTGCCTGTCCGATATCAAGTCCTGAACGAGGGCCAACTTTCTCCAACTCAACATCAGCAAGACTGAGGCCCTCCTGATTGGCTCGCGCCAGCGCCTCCGCACCTCAGGCACTGGCAGCATCAGCCTCGACGGCTGCGCACTCAACCTCACTAACCCAGTCAAGAATCTGGGCATCTTGTTTGACCCTGAACTGTCCTTTCTCCCCCACATCCGCGCCATGACCGGTACTGCCTACCACCACCTCCGCAACATTGCCAGACTCCGCCACTGCCTCACCCCTCAGGCTGCCGAAACCCTCACCCACGCATTCGTCACATCAAGGCTCGATTACGGGAACTCCCTCCTCATCAGCCTTCCCAACTGATGGTTTCGCTTTCCCTTCACAAGCTGCAGATCATCCAAAACCCTGCAGCTTGTGTACTCTCACACACCAGGCTCCGTGACCCCATCACTCCCACCCTCACCCAACTCCACTGGCTCCTCATCTCCCAGAGGATCGAGTTCAAGATCCTCGTCCTCACCTTTAAGGCCATCCATGGCCTTGCCCCTCCTACCTCTCTGACCTGCTGACCCTACCAATCTGCCCACTCCCTCCGTCAGCGGGCTTTGGTCTGCTCCATGTCTCTCGCCCAACCCGCCCTACCATCGGTGGCCGGGCTTTCAGCCTCACTGCTCCCACACTCCGGAACTCCATCCCACGAGCCCTTTGCCTCGCTTTCTCCCTTGCCTCCTTCAAGGCCAGTCTCAAGACCCTTCTCTTCTCGTGCCTTTAGTCTCCCTCCCACATCTCTGCCTTCCTCACCCCTACACCACCCCTCCCCCATGCTCGGGCCCCGACACCTGACTGTTCAGCGCTCTGAGACGTCTTTTGACGTGGAAGGTGCTCTATAAATGTAATTTTGTTGCTGTAGTTGTGTACCAAGCAATGGCTTGGTGGATAATAGCATTTGTTAAATCTTCAATGACCAACTCAACACTATCCTCCTGGGGCAAGGGGATAGGGGATAGGAAGAGAGAGGTAATCCGGGTCTCTATGTAGCGAGTTGGCTACAAGTTGAGAGCCTGACAATATTATGCAAGTCCATGCAAATAAATCAATCCTCCCAGGTAATCTCGGTGGTCTAGATCCCTACTCGGGGAGACCTATTGTGGAGTCTGATGATGGATCACTCAGCCAGCAGGACTTGGAAGGTGAATGGGGATTGGAACTCTTCTCACTCGGCACCTTCAATCCTTCAACTCAAGACACTAATGGGTAGGATGGTCTTAGCTGAATAAGCAGAGCGAATGCTCGTATTGACAATCTGGGGTTACGCTCCAGCAGTTATCTCAACACACATTCTGGGATCCCTAAGACGTGGCTCTCACCAACCTGCACCAAATATATTCCGGGATTGAGTGAGCAATGGTGCATCCTTCCAGGGAGAGAGTGCGCATTCCATACCAGACGGAAACATAAATATGCAGAACTCTAAGCGGTTGGTTTGAAGACTCTTAAGCACAGTGAATAATTTCCACGCATGTCACACGTGGCTTACTAGAAGAAACCATCAGTGATAATTTTATTCTGTGGCCTGATTAAATATCTTAACTAATAAGATAGTTAGCAAACGAACAAGTGGGGAGGTTAAGAGAAACGTTTTCACCCACAAAGTAGTTAGGATAAAGAATATTATGTTGGGTTGAGGCAGAATGTATAAGACCTTTCAAAAGGGCACCGGATAAATACCTAAAAAGGAGAAAACTGCAGGTATATGGAGAAAGGACAGATAAATGAGCTGGCACAGATGGGCCAACTGGGAAAAGAAGAGCGATTCTCTCTCCCGGTTTCAACAATGCCCAATAAAATAGTTTGCTCTCTCCATGGCTGTTTGTGGGAAATCGCTGTGCACAACTGACTAGCACATTTTACCTACAAAATACAGTCAATCCACTTTACAGTAGATCCTGTGAAGCATTTGGGACATCTCAACAATGTTATGAGATGCTATATCAAATGCAAGGATTATTTATTTATTTTATTTATTCTTCTATGCTATGAATTTCTATGGTTGCATGAAGTTTTGAGGTGAAAGCAGAACAATCAGTGCTTGACTGATTGCTGCACAGGTTCAGCTGCAGCATTGCCAACACTGTTAACAATCTCAACGCGAGACATCTAGTGAATAGTCTTCAGTAACTCCAACTGGACAGCAATGTGCCCTCAACGTACCTTTAAGTGAAGTGTTCATGCGTAGCCTGAGAACAGCAGCTACTTAAAGCTTCTGTCTCCCCAAGTGACTGTCCTTGTGGCATTTCTCAAGTGGAAAAGTGCGATTCAATACTGAGAATAGTCTTGAAGCAAGCTGCAACACATTACAGACCACCACACTAGTTTCAAGCTGTCCTATACCAACTGTCTTCAGCTAATGGAGCAGACTGTCACATAGACACACTCCTTTGCCAACATCTCCTAACAATGGAAATGGCAAGCTCACTAACTATCCGCAAAGTGTGCATTGAACACATGATGGGCTGATAAGGAATAGTTTGCCAAATATTCATGTAATGAATATTGCATGAACGGTGTCTTCTTTTCCATGCTCCTCTTGTACCTGTTGGGACAAGCTGTGAAATGCTGTGAAAAGCTGTTCTATCAAGTCTAGCTTTCTCGCAAACACATGAAGCTGTGAAATGCAAATGCTCCCCAACTAAAAATAGGAGTTTGGGATTGGAGATTTATTTAAGATGCAGTTTCTACCCACTTTCTCACTCAAACTTCTCTTCATCATGCTTCTTGGCCTTCAAAGCGCAGGCAGACTGAGAGACTGCAAGGTAAATGTTCTCAATGTGTGCTCTGGCATTAGCAAACGATGAGGCACAATTGCAGTCTCCAAAAAAACCTTAGATTCCTGTTCCGTTCTACCAGGTGGACCTTTTTGTGTGTGATCCGTCAGGTGTCTGATACATTTGGAAACCTATTGCTGCGCTTAAGTGAATCCAATTCATCCTACCTAACCATGGAAATTTCTGTGTGTGAAATAGCTGCGCCCTCTCTCCCTGGAGTGCACAATATGCCCACCTAATTCCAGACAGTATTAGGCACAGCATGGCAAACGCCAAGGTTTGGGAATCCCAGAGTGTGAATTTCGAGTACTGCTGGAGCTTCCTGCTGTTCGTCTAGCTAAAAACAACCTTGTGTATTCCATTAGAGCTTTGGCTTGCAGGGTGAAGAGGAGATGAGTGGATAGAGTCTCTGCCCCCAGTGATTGGTCTGCTCTTCCATGTTGTGCCGATGAGCCAAGCTGGCTAGGGCTGTCATCAGCAATGCCTTGGATTGCTGCAGAACTGCCTGACTCAGAACCGGATTATCGAGACCACCTAAAGGGTTGACTTGATTTCAACATTATGTTGCCAAGCACATCACCTGAAGCCAGTTTAGATCTCAGGAAAACCTGCTTACCTGCCCTCCAAAGGAAGATCGTCACTAGATAGGCCCTTTGTCTTCAGGTTTGTGAAAGGAAGTGAGCTAGCTGACTCTGGGTACACGTGCTGTCCTGGTTTGGAGGTTCAGAGACAAAGAAATTGCGATCTCTTGTATGCAAAGTATTTTTTAAAATAAATAGATGCACAGGTGAGAGGCCACATATGCATACCCTGCCTCTGGGTGGATTGCTGCTCAGTCAGACAAATACAGTCAGTATTCAAACCCAGGATCCGTATGTTAAACATCAACCACCAGATCAGTGTTCCCACCCGGTTCTGTTATAATAATCCTTGCATTTGATATAGCGCTTTTCATGTCGGGAGGACATCCCAAAGCGCTTCACAGAACACACTGTAAAGTGAATTGACTGTATATTTGTGGGCGAACGCGGCAGCCAATTGCGCACAGCAATGTCCCACAAACAGTCGTAGATTGAAAATGACCAATTTTTATTATTGTTTTTGGTTTTGGAGGGATTATTATTAGGCTCTGTGTGGAGTAAGGAAACTTGCCCAAGGTTTCGCCCTCTGCCTGGAATTGAACTCAGGTCTCTTGCTCGCAAAGCGAGTGCTCTAACCACTGAGCTACAGGACTCCACTGAAACTGCGCTTCGCTTTCGTTGTATGAAAAACAGACTGGAAATAATAATCCTTAACAGATACAGGAGCAATTATTATCCACACAGGTCATATCCTCTTCTCAAGCTTGTTTGATAATAATAGTGCATCTGATATAGCGTCTTATCAGGTCTTCGAGATGTCTCAAAGTCTTCACAGAATCTACTCTAAAGTGAATTGACTGTATATTTTGTGAGCGAAACGTGGCAGCCAATTGTGCACAGCAGTGTCCCACAAACAATTGTGGATTGAGTAACCAAATTATTTTTATTTTTTAATTTCTTTAGAAGGAATTATTACCCCGGACAAGCAATCCACCAATCGACTGACAACCGGGTAACTACTTACCATTACGTAAACGGAGGTGTGTGGAGTAAGGAAACTTGTCCCAACGTTTCGTCCTGCCCAGGAAACAAACCTAGTCCCTGTCGCTTAAGAGGCGAGTGCTCTAACCATTAAGCTACACGACTCCACAACTTTAACACTTGAAACAGGCATTTATTTGGTCAAATGTTCAGTGGAATTTCAAAGTTTTGCAACAAAATGATCAAATTCTCTGGGATGATATGACATGCTGAAGCTTATCAAATGTCTTTCTAGGTGCTGTCCGTCTCCTATCTACCAAGCAGCAATTTCGCTCAGGGAGTGTGCCCGCTACTTGGCCTCTCACCTAAGCTTCCATTTTAAAAACAAACTTGGCGTGTAAAAGACATCGCAAGAGCGGCTCGGATTAAGTCTCTTTGACAAAGAATGTTGTTGTTCTGTTTTTGTATCTAGCTGTATCTCAAATGAGTCCATCGTTCTGGCCTTGATCACATTTCCATAGTAACCCATTCCAATTACCTTCAATGTAAAGAAATAGTTTGGGTTTTTCACAGTTCCCAACACTGTGCCCTCTAGATCTGCAGCCTTGTTTTATTTAAACGTATTTTTCCAGATTTATTTTCTCTATCCAATTAAGCATTTTATGTCTCTTTATATGATTCCCCTGAGACATTTATTTTCAATACAGGAAATTCCTACTCTATCTCGTTGCTCCTCATGGCTCTTTCCTCTGAGTATAAGAAATGTACAGAGTACTCTGGAAGCTGCCACGCTTCGGCAATGAGGAGTTAAGTATTCACGAGTTGATTTAACGTGAATTTTAAATTTGTAGCACTTCTGAACCAATCTGTGAGGAGAATGACTCGCACTCACCCATCCTGTGTCCTGTAGACTGCACAGCAATCTGTGGTTAGGCCCCTCATCATCAGAGCTTTCTTCAGGCTATCTCTCACCGTCACTCCACAGCGAGCCGGAACCTGAAGAACAGAAACAGATGAAGTGTTCAGTGTTATAATAATTCATTGTCTTTAAAATGAATCAAATGGAAAAAAAATCCCATTAATCTCAAAACCATGTGCACCAACAAACATTGGATTCTAACTTCATCTCTGAAGTAAAAATTATGTGTCCAGCCTGTACCCCAACTCGATTATTTCCTAAAGGCATAGGTTGAGAACATCTTCAGAAAGGCACTCAGTACGTCAAAGGAAGCATGCACCAGGGAAGGTTTGTTTGTGGTTGTTACATTACATTCAAAGTGCAGTCGAGCTGTTACACCAACTTTGGTGCACTGGACAGTTTGAATTTTTTTGTTGATGGCACAAAATGACAGATCCAAGTTTGGTCAAAGCAAACCATGGGGCAGATAAGTGATTATTTTTAGAGCAATTAATTGCATTTAAGGACAGTAGCAACCCATGACCCTAAGGCTGTTTTTTTCAGCAAACGGGGATTGAGGGCAACTGAGGGCAAGGTGGGAGTGCACAGCAGTGAAGTGCGAGTCTCTTCTGCTGTCAGATCAGAATAGCTGCAGTTCAGAAAAGCAGGTGTACTCATCCGTGCAGCTTTCCTGCCAAGTGCATCAGGCAGAAAAAGAGTTTCAACTTTCCACAAGTAAAATGTAACCTGCAACCCAGAGGACCAGACGCTATTTGTTATTGAACAATTTGTATTGGCATTGTATCTTTTGTTCTATCTACAGATGACGAGAGCTTGTCAAGATCAATAAAATTTCAAGGAAAGCAACGTTTAACAGCACTTCGAATTTCAGCAACAGTAACTTCCCCAGATAAAGAAATTATCAGTTTTGTGTTTGGTCACAAGATGCCCGGTTGACCTGACAAACGAAACGTGGTGTACCATCAATGCATGAAGCTCATGATTCCATTGAGTTGAATTAGGCCAAACAAATAAAAATATTGAAAGAAGTAACAAAAAACAATTAATTCAAAACAGCTCCAGTACAAGCTCTAATTGACGTGGTGCTTGTGGCAAATTCTTATTGTCGACACATTTTGAATCGGGTGATCTTATAGCTTAGGAAACAATTGGGACTTCAAAGAGCCAAACATACCGCAAGAACCTGAGTGTTTACTCAATCAACTTGTTATCAGTGGTGGGCTGCTGGCCCTGAGTCACCAAGACAACAGATGGCAATTCAGTCCATGGTACGGCTCAAGCATTGTCCAGTGAAACTGAAATCAACACAAGTTACAGCACTAAAATGCTGTAATGACAACAAATTACATTTGTACAATGCCTTCCACGTTTGTAGGATGTTTCCAGGTGCTGGACAGTCGAGGATCCACACCCAAGCTGGGGGTTGGTATCAGGAGGAGTGAAGGGCAGGGAGGGTGGGGTATGAGGATGACTGAAGGCATGGTCAAAAAACAGAGTGTTGAAACTGCAAGATTAATCGGGAAAGCATTGAAAAGGAAAACCGGGCAAAGCCTCGGCTGACAGGTCGTCAAACAGGCACTTAGAGAGCACAGGACAGTTGGTGGAGGAACTGAATGAATTCCTCAACTTTGATTTCCAGATCCTCGAAGAACCAATTCAGTCACCAGAATGTCTATTATCGTCTGTTTATGGATGTTGTGGATCAATGTAGACATGATGGGAAAAGGTGAGTGTGCACTGGGAACTTCCCAACTCGGAATTTCTTATTTTGATGGCCTGACTGTCCGACAGCAAAATCAATTCGTCCCTTAGATCTATAGAGAAACCAGTGTAATCTCTATTCTATTCATCAAATAAAGAGAAACCGGTGTAATCTTTAATTCTATTCATCAAAGGATTGTTTATTGGCAAAGGCTCCACTAGGTACTTGGATTGCACAAGTGTCTTCCCTCCGTGGGATGGAGCTGGCTCTGACGTGACGTAATGGGCATGGAATGTTGGAATCGAGACGATCTCTCTCTGGCTGTCTCAACCACCAGGTTCCTAAGCCAGACCGGTCTGCAGTGCTCCTCGACAGCTGATGCCAGACCAGCCAGGCTGGCTCATTTCTTGGATTTGGAAGGGCAGACCAGTCACTGGGGACAGAGATTCCCACTCAGCTCCCATTAACCCTGCAAGCTAAAGCCCAAATAAATAAGGTGGTCCTCCGTGGACAAGCAGCAAGAAGCTGATCAGATAATTCTTTCAATGGCAAGCTGTGTGGTTTTATAATGATAATCCTAACATTTATTATTGCATCTTTCACATCAGGAGGATGGCTCAAAGCACTTCACAGTAGAGTGACTGCAAATCAGGCAAATTTGGGAGCCAATTTGCTCCCAGCGATGCAGGTTGAATGACCTCCTTTTGCTCCACACAATTCTACAATTGAACATGACCAGCAGCCTGAGGAAAGTGTGGACTATTGGAAAAAAAAGGGAGACAAATGGCTAAACTCCAACAGTACCCCAACAGGCAGTCAGTCTGTTGTCCCCGAGTTTTCACTCTCACTAACTTGCACAAACACTATCCGGGATTTGGGTAAGCAGGATGTGTCCCTCCAGAGAGAGTGCATGGCCTTCCCGACATGGAAATTTCCATGCGGAGATGGCGTACATAATGTGGAACTCTGTGTGGTTTGGATCCTCAGAAGCTTGGTTTTCACTAGTGTCAGACTCAGACTTCCTGCTGAACAAAAACAACATGGACCTTATGTATACTTAATGAGCCTGAAATTCTACCTTGATTTTTTAAGATTGATTTTATCTTAAAATTTGAGAGGGTGGAAATTTCTTAAATTAAATCTTAATTTCAACAAATCTTAAAATGAAATCAGACGGGATTAAGACAGGACTAGTCGATTGGAAGATCACTTTCTGTGGGTAAAAATCCCTCCAGAAAGTCACTCAATCCATGACTGTTTGTGGTACACTGCTGCGCACAACTGGTTGCTGCGTTTCACCCAACAAGATACACAAGTCAATTCATTTTACAATTTATATTCTATGAACTGCTTTAAGATGTCTCCATAAGGCGCTATATCAAATGCAAGGATTATTATTATTTAAGAATTTTCCATAATTCTATCTGAAACTTGAAAATGATGTCGCAGGTTGAGACAAAGTGTGAATTTAGATGGAATGCGTGTGTGTGCATAGAGATTTTAAACTCTGCAAAATGACTGAAAATGCCTTTGACGCAACCAGAGCAGTACTTTGTCCATCATTGAGAAACAGGAAACAGGTCTGAATTTTTTCTAGTTTATTGTCCTCACTACAATGACTGCGTCTGCCCCAAGTTTCAGATAATAGATTTGGATAGGCTCTGATGTGTGACAAAACAAATGTGGATGGGTTTTTTTGAACACGGCATCATTTGTGTATGGCAGGGTCATATTCAAGGTCACAATTTTGAAAGAAACGCTATATCTTGGCCATTCCAAGCCCTTTGGAAAAGGGTAAAGTGCCCTGAAGGTGATGGGGTGCCAGAGTGCACTTGTGATACTCTAGTGAACAGCAAATCTTGCGCAACAAATGAAGGCATGGCCATAAAAATCAGGACTAGCTTTGCACTGAAATAAGGGATGTGATGTACCCAAGGTTAAGTCTTACAAATGAATAATCTGCAGCAGAATACAATAATATAGAAAATAATAATCCTGAAATAACAATAGAAATATCAAAAGAGAAGGTAGTTTACATTCTTTCATCTTTCATCATTTAATGTTCTTTCAGGGGTTAAAGATCTCCACCCCCCCCACAAATAAACCAACTCGGGAATACAGCAAGCGGTGTCTCATAATGAGCCGCTACTTCACAGGTCAAAATTCTGAATTGCGAACAAATCTTGTGGCAGTAACAAATACTGTCCACAAGTTCAATGGAATGAGTCTCCACTTAATACGCTGTTATCCAACTGCCAGTTCAAAACTGTGATTTTACGAACAATCTGCAGCTGCATTGTGGAGTCCTGTAGCTTAGTGGTTAGAGCACTCGCCTCGCAAGCGAGAGGACCTGGGATCGATTCCAGGGCAGGACGAAACATTGGGCAAGTTTCCTTACGCCACATGCCTCTGTAAGTAGGAACTCGGTTGTTAGTCAATTGGTGGATTACTTTTCTGGGGGTAATAATCACTTCAATAAGATAAATAAAATAAATAATAATAATTCAATCCACAACTGCTGACTGCAATTGGCTGCTGCTGTTTCACCCACAAAATATACAGTCAATTCACTTTACAGTATATTCTGTGAAGCACTTTGAGACGTCTCGAAAACATAATAAAGGCTATATCAAATGCAAGAATTATTATTTACTTAATGATTGAGTGTCCTGAAAATTATACTCATTAAAAATAAAACTTGCATCTGGTGTAGTGATTTTCCCATCTGGAGGATGTCACAAAACATTTCATAACACATACTGTAAAGTTGAGTGACTATGTATTTTGTGGGCAGACATGTCAGTCAATTTGTCCACAGCAATGTTCCACAAACAACCATGAAATGAAGGGCCAATTTTATTAAGAGAATTGCTGGCCAGCATATCGGAAGAAACTCCCTTCTCTTTCCGAATTGTGCCATGGGATCTTTATAAAGCCTACCTGAACAGGCAGACAGAGTCTCAGTTCAACATCTCATCCAAACAACTTCCAACATGCAGCACTGCATGGACGCACTTTTCAAAGTCCTCACATGAAGCTTAAAGACGTGAAGAGTGGGGCAGGAAAAGGAAGCGGCTGAGTGTATCTTACTGTTTGGAGACCAGGAAGAATGACTTAAGGATTGCAGTTACCTTTTCCAAAGAGATTTTTCTGGTTTTGAGTTATAATAATGGGATCATTTAGGCCAGCCGTTTTCAAACTTTCATACGCTCCTCAAAAGATATAGGCTTGTCTCCTCCTTGGCCGCTTGTCCCGGGCTGGTTAGCAACCGATTTTCATTCGGAGGGAACAGCACCAACCAGAATTTTTTTTTTCTCCTCTCTTTTCACTATGCCCCCACCAATATCAGTAAAAAAAATATAATTCTTATCCAGTAACAAATTCACACAGCCCTGACCACCCAGTTTGAAAACCTTGGATTTAGATAGTTAATGTCTATAATGTCCATAAGGCTTACAGTATAAACTACTTAGTTTTCTAGCTTGGACTGCTGTGAACAAAAACCCCCTTGGACTGCTGTGGTTCCTTACAAACTGGTTGCATTTCTCTTACTCACCACAGTCCTCTGTTTGTTGGGTAGGAAGACTCGAACGATGGGTTTCTGAGGAGATTTGGGATTGGTCCTTGAATTATCATTTGGGTTCTGCAGCAACCCTGGAGACTGAACGACAGGTAGAGTGGTGGACGGTCCCGTCAAGTCAGTCAGGAGAGAATTAGTGTTTGGAACTTCTGTACCATTTCCCATCGACTCAAGCAACTGTTGTTCACGCTGCTGGAGGGCATCGAGCTTGCTTGTGTACTCTTCATATGCCTAGGAAAACAAAACAAAAATCTGTATGTTAATTCAGAGTGCACAATCCACTACCACACGTCTCGCATAGGCTTGTGCTCTTACAACAACGCCAAGACAAATTCACTCCAGTGCAGTGAAGGACAAGATTGAATTCAAATTATAAACGACTCAGTGTGCCGTTCACAAACATTCCCAAATCATATAACTGCAAATCCGAGAGAACACCAATCTCACAGGCAGCTGGATTAACAATGTTCGCACTGCAAAGACAATTAACAATCGTGCAAGTAAAAGACACTTGCACTTCAGAACCGATGAGTGTCCACTAATAATAAAATAATAATTCTTACATTTGGTGTAGCACCTTTCATATCAGGAGGTCATCTCAAAACGCTTCACAGGATTTACTGTGAAGTGCAGTGACAGTGTTTTGTGGGCGAACGCTGCAGCCAATTTTATGCATAGCAATCTCCAACAAACGGTCACAAAAAAAAACTTTGATCACTCAATCAACGACTGTTTGTGGGACACTGCTGTGCGCAATTGGCTACCGCGTTTCGCCCACAAATATACAGTAATTCACTTTACAGTATATGCTGTAAAGGGCTTTGAGACGCCTAAAAGACATGAAAAGCGCTACATCAAATGCAGATTATTATTATTAAAGTAGTAATAACTAATTTTATCTGCGGGAATTACTGGGGCCAGCACATCGGGAGAAACTTCCTTCTCTTTTCAAATATTGCCATGGGATCTTTAAATTCACCTTAACAGAAGACAGGGCCTCGGTTTTACATCTCATCCAAAGGACAGCACCCCCAACAATACAGCACACCCCCAGACTGCATTGGAGTATTAGCTGAGACTATATGAGTTTGAAGTCCCAATGTGGGCCTTGAATCCACAACCTTTTCACTCGGAGGCGAGAATCCTATCAGCTGAGCCAGGCTGACTTTGTGAGCTTACAATTTATTTTAATGTAAAAAAATGCAGACCAACACGAATTTGGGCAAACATGTCAAATATTTGCTCCATGATGAAACGCTATATTTTTTCTCATTGTGAGTGCTCTCCAAACCCGTGCAGGGCAGTGGATGGAATAGGACAGCACACCATCGCCATCCAAAAATCTCTCCTCTCTGGAAAATTCAATTATTTGCATCCAAAGAGCATCTTGCAGTGAACTATTCTGGGATCCCATCAGAGTCTGGGATCTTGCAATGTACTGAAAGCAAAGAGAGACGCAACAAGGCAGACATGACAGCAAGTCACTGAACTGCAAAGGGGAAGCATTGCTTCTCCTGTGAGGCACACAAAACCTTACAGCCTGCTCAGCAAAGGCTGAAATCTTATTGGCCAGACCAACCTGCCTGGCAACCTGGTATCATGTAGATAGTGCTGCAGTTAACAAGCTAGAACTTCACACATTCTCCTGTGTTCTTTCATTGGTAAAATACAGTTAAAGTGAAGAGGTATTTGATCACTGGTGCAACACATATATCTGGACAATAAACGTTTGACGAATCCGAACGGAGCTAATGTTTGTACGTAACCCAATAATGAATCATTGGAACTGAAACAAAACGTTACACAGGATTTACTGTCAAGTGTGGTGACTATTTATTGGCAAACATGGCTGCCAATTTGTGCACAGTAGTTTCATGTAAACGGCATGGAAGACAATGGCCAATTTCCTCTGAGTAATTGTCAACCAGGACACCAGGAGAAACGGTGACATGGGATCTGAGGGGAAGATAGGACCTTGGTTTAACATCTCATCTGAAGGATTGATCATAATTTTGGGTAGGAACACTGAGCAACAATGTTACTCAAAAGGTTGGTGTTCCCATAATAGTTCACCTGGGTTCAATGTGGTTAACACACTATTGCAAAGGTCTGGTATGTAAATTTCTGAGTATGCAAAACGACTAAATCTCAAACAGAAGAACATTCATGATGTTCTACTTGAGTTCAGACCGCTCGTAGTCCCAGTACACCAAGCAGGAGCCTAGGAAAAGGGCACAGAGCCAGGCTGAGCAAGAAACAAAACTCGTCAGACCTGTCCCAGGAGCCAAGAAGATTCATCACTTGCACATCCAGAATAACTTTCAAGGCAAAGTCAAATGATTTAGAAACCAGCAACAACCTTTCAACAGTCAGGGACCGCTGGAAGCACAGTGCTATTCTCATCTACCTCTGATTTCATTTAAAGAGAAGTTCACACACACTGCCTCGATGGGAAATTTTGAGGACCTGAATGTTTTGAAAGGATTGACAGTGGAACAGCAACAAAGTCTTAAGAGTATGGGCACATGTCAATTTAAAATAGTAGCATCAAGTAGATTAGTCTGTGACAAGGAAAGAATTTCGGATTAAGTGGAAGATTCTTCCTTCCTTTAAATTGCCATTGGATCAAGGCAGGCACAATATCAGTTAACTGATTTCAGAATTCCCGCAGTTTCCTTTAGACAATCAAAGTCATGATGTGGGGGTTGAACCCACAACCTTCTGACTCAGAAATCGGGGTACTCCTAACTGAGCCAGGCTGTCAAATAAGATGTTTGATAGTGACCCAGAGCACACGTTATGCACTGTTTGTGCAGTGTAGTCGAGAAGAGATTATGTAGAATATTATTGATGTTTTACTCCTACATAACAAATAAGTCTCACAACTTCAAATAGAAACAGCCTCTTAAAAACATCTTAGACTTCCCACTTTCTAACCAGATCAAGCACTGCGTTCAAACCAATAAAGTTGCAACTCATGGTTCGAGGAGTGTACTGAGCAAATCTAAAACGTCACACTGGTAGTCCAGGAGACCTGGAATTTCCTGGAGCAGCTGTCCCATCCCTGGATGAAACGATTGCTTAAAAGCCAAGAGATTCCAAAGTGTGCATCATGACAAGATGAAACCAACAATCCCCCGAATAAAATTTGTCATTTATTGTGTGGCTGTTTGTGGGACATTGTTGTACACAAATTGGCTGCCACTATTGCCAGCAAAAAAAAGTCACTAAACAGTAAAATCCTTTCAAGCACTTTGAGCTGTCTCAACTATATCAAATGCAATGATTATTACTATTATATCGCCGCCTTGGGAATTTGTCAATAGAAAAATCACATGTTTTGTACTCTTAATTTTAATTAAGACTAAGTGACCTGTTTAGTTATAGATGCTTAGGAAGGAGACATGGAGCTCTATATTTCCGACAGTGCTATTGTGTGAGTTCAGTTCAGTCAGGGAAGTTATATTGGGGTGGTGGGGGAGAGAAAAGGGATTTGGAATAATTAGCAAAAAAAAGTTCAAACAACCAACACAAGAAGGCAGGAATCGGACAGGATACCACCACAAACTTGGACTGTTTGTCTCTAAATCAGAAGGTTATGGATTCAATTTAATTGCCAGCCTGAGCTGTGAGTTCTAAGTACTGAGGTGGAACTTGAATTCACAACCTTCTGTCCTAGAGACAAAATTTCTCCCAACTGAGCCAGGCTGACACCTTGCTTTTTATGCAGTGACAGAAGACTGGAAGCCTCCAATTGACCCCATTCCCTCTTCCAGCCAAATCACAACATAAGCAGAAGGTACTTGACTTTTTAAGATGTTGCCCTTGATCTTTTTCTATCATCCCTCCACTTGGCAGGTATGTCATATTTTCATGGAAGCACATTTATTTATCAGCGAACAATCTGGTTGGAAGTCCACTAGCTGCCAGACTTAACACATGCACACTTATACATTTAGCAGAACTCACCTCCAGGTAGATAGAGGGTGGATTGTGGTCCCCACCAAACTTGTCCAACAGAGCTTCAATATGCTCCTGAGTTAGTTTGATCATCTGCTTAATATTCCACACCTAGAGAAAAAGATTGATAAAGAGAAGTTAGTTTGAGTGGAAAGAAATGTCAGCATGTGATTTAGTGGCAGAGAAAATAAGGTTCTTATCACGTTGGCTGTCTCAGTGCATAATGAACTTGCCTTGCAGATGAGAATGGCATTTCGAGAATCTAAATCTGCCCCCTGCAACTTCACAAATGTGCCTTAGTTTGATTGTTTCTTCTTCAACTACTCAACTCTGTCCAGTTGAACTGAATCCTTGCCTCAGAATCAGTTGATGAGGCATTGGAGCAAAACAAGATCTAAAACATTTGGAGCTTTAGAACTTCTGACAAAAATATGAAACGACAGAAGCACGCCAAGGAAGGAACCTTTCAGGACTGAGGGTCAAACACAAAGCTAAACCCAATCGCACAGCAGTTGATATACCAACATGGCAAGCATCTAGATTTGTACTGAGTGATGGTCAATGCAACACCATTCACAAGAGAAACACAACAAAGAATTTCCCGAGAAAGAAAGCTATTTTATTAGACAGCTGAATCTTGACACCTCTTCCACATTTAGAGCACAGAGAAAAAAATAATCTGGCCCTTTAAAGTCACTCCTTTCACAGAACACATAAAGACGGCCTCATTATAGGCTTTACTCCTCCCATCGAATCTATAATTCTTTCTCAAACAAAAAAGGGTTTGCCAATAAAATGTACATTATTTATATTATCATTAATGATGGCAACTCAATTTTTCTGGGCTCAGCAATGTGCAGTGATGGGTAAGTAGCAAATGCCTATATTTTCCTGGATATGTGAGGCCAAAACTCTGAAACCCCAATCCCCATCCATCCATCTCCTGACAGAACCTTATTTGTCTAAATCTGGCTGTTCATAAATAAACAAAAGATGGGAACCCCAGTACTGACTTCCTGAGATTTATCTGCAGGATTCACAGTTTCGTAATCAGTTTGCAAATTAGACCCCTGCTGTCATGGAGAAGGAATTGAGTCTTCACAGAATCATTGCAGCATAAGATCCTTACAGTTACTTTTTGATCATGTACAGCAGTCAAGATGACGACCAAGCAGCTTTCCACTCAAGGACAAGGGACAACAATAAGCAGCAAACAGTCCCTGGTGTTTGGTGCTTATTGTTGCAAATACAGTTCACATTGCATACATGTTCAACTAAAAAATAATCCTTGCATTTGATGCTGGGAAGACGTCTCAAAGGTGCTTCATAGGATTTACTGAAAAGTGGAATGACTGCTTTCTGTGGGTGAACATTGCATACGGCCATGTTCCACAATCAGCCAGAATTGAATGACCAATTTTATTTGGGGGATTGTTGGCCAGGATATTGGGAGAAACTCACTTCTCTTTTCGGATGGTACCACAGAATGTTTAACAACCACCTGAATGAGCAGATGAGATTTTGGTTTAATCTCCATACAGGGCCTCGAACAACGCAGCATGTCCCCAGCACTGCATGGGGTGTCAGGCTAAATAAAGCAACTTCAAACTTCACAGGCATTTGGGGTTACTATAGATCTCAGGAAGCGTTCTGAATTAAGTCAATTATTCTTCTGTGACATATACACTGCAATGCATTGTCATCACATACCACATATGGCATTCTATGTTATTATCATCATCAACTGGGATTGTTTTAAGAGTTGAAACAAAGCCAAAACACCAACGTACATACATCAACATTCTTGCATTATGGATTTTTCTACATAACAATTTGCATTTCACTTTGGGCTAATATCTCAATGAGCTTCAAATAGCTGTCTGGGTGGGTGGAGGGAGGTGTGGGGTGGGTGGAGGGCGAAGGCAGTCGAAGGCACAAGTGGAACACACAACGAACACGAGTTCAGAGGCATAGGTAAAACATGTCAGTTGAAAGGCCACGGTGCCTCAGATTGATGGAGCATAAGTTCCATAAATTGGACTCACAGAGCAAAACACAGAGCCAACAGATCAGGCACTGCCTTAGAATATTGAGCGTCGCAATGTGAAAAAGTGAGAAATTTGACTCATTTTGAAATGGAAAAGCCTCCCGTTTACCCAGCTGTCTGGAGACACAAAACAAACATCGACATTATAACTGCAATACAGCCAAATCCTGCCACCCATAAAGGTTTTAGCCCATGCCCTCCATAGAATGTGTCTACTTTTCCTCTAAAATAATGAGAGCATTGAAGCAACTCAGTCAGTCAATAAGCAGAGATTAGAACTGCCTTTGATAGATCTGTCCAGCTAGTTCCACATGCATGTACTCCATGAACTATTTATTGTTGGACAGAATTCCCTGCAGACAATTTGTTTTGATGAGTTTTTCTCTACTCCCCGATTTGGCAGCAACACCAGATTTAAGGGTGGAACAATAAATGTGTCACAAGTTACAGGCTCATCACCCTTCCAAAGGATGGAGCAAGAAAGGGGGAGAAGGTAAAGAATAATCATCCTTGCAGTTGGAAAAGTGACTTTCCCATCAGGAGAATATCCTGAAGCACTTCAAGGATTTTCTGTAAAGTTTTGCGATCTTGTACTTAACGCTTAGGCAACAGCCAATCTGCGCACAGCAATGTCCAACAAACAGACATTAAGTGAATGTATTCAGGGATTGCTGTTTTTGAACTTTGGCATGGGATCTTTTGTGTCCTGAACAGGCAGACGGGTGTTTGGTTTAACATCTCAGCCGAACACTGGCACCTCCGACAACCCCACCCACTCAGCACTGCCCTGGAGTGTTCACCTAGAAGTCAAACCCTGACGTGAGCTTGAACCCACAATTGACACTAAATTTGAAAGTTGACCTCTCTTTCACTTGTTCTCCACCGCCCCACAGCATACAAAGTATGTTTCATGTCTGCTCTACTCTAACTCATGCCCCTTACACCTTTGCTTCAATTGCTAACAAGCAGCACAAGTCTTGCTGCTTTTATAAAACTGCCACTGCCCAGCTAACAGTTTAACCCCTGGTTTTGCATAATTCATGTTCAAAAATGCTCTACCTTCACTTCCAAACTTTATGGATAAAAATTCTGGTGATCTTTAAATCAAACGTTTATTTCCCTCACAACCTAAGGTACTGTACAGAGTGCACTTAGGACGCAGATACCAGGGCACGAGGTTATAAACAAAATTAATTTAACAAGCGCTCAGCACAGTTATTCTACTTAATGTGTCATTTGTGCAAAGTTGACCCTCATTCAGCAGGAGAAAAAATAAATAATTCAGCCATTTAATACCCCATAATAATTACCACAAGAAGCCACCCACTGGTTGAACTTACTTGCAGGTGTTGAAGGTCCTTTCGACCAATCTGTTCACTACTGCAGCATCAAATAACATTTTAAATGACTCTAGTGTTCTGGCCTAACCTAAATATAACTACATGTTCAGCAAATATGCTTATGTTTTTAATCCGGGTTGTTTCAGAAAATGAATCTCTCAATAGCTCCAATCAACATTCAACAATGTTTCACAGCATTCATCAGAGTTCTCTACAATTTTCCTCAAAATTTGTCGAATGCCCTGCAATTTTCCACACTTTTCTATTGGCCAATAACCCATCCCTACCATTAAATAAACATTATTGAACCACATAAAGAAACATTTCCCAGTGTGACAAGATTGCTTATACTGCTGAACTTGTCACTGCTTGCTCCTCTCCATGCCTTATCTGAAACTGTTCTCAACCCTGGTTATTCTAAATTCATTTAATGCTCCTCAGCTACAAAAAATGTAATCTGCTTAAAAATTCTTATACACTAGTCCGCAAGAAAGTAGCTCAATATACAACTAACCTGCCTCTTCCGCTCTGGAATGACAAAATTGCTTTACAATGTTTCACTGAGAGTGAAACATTTTAGCAGAGATCGATCGGAAAAGTCAACTGTTGCTGTTCCTCTATCTTGTGATTACTGTTATTTCAGCATGTATTCACTCATCTGTGGAACTGTAAACTGACCTCACACAAGTCTTCACTGGAATCCAAACACCAGTGACTTGATGTGCAAGTTTTAATGATAATTGCTCAACTTCAAATAAAACATGTAAAATTTCTCCCTGAGGGAATCCATCAGAGCACTCTGCCAGTGGAAGCTTTGAACACCATGCCAGCTTTTTCTTTTAAGCCTCTCATGACTGGACACTTTGCCAGCACAGTAGATCCACAGAAGCACCTCTGCATACTCATGGAATACCTCGAGAGCTGTGAAATATACACACCCAATTTACAATACTGGACATTCTTTCCAAAGCTCACAAGGACTGTCACCATTAAAGCCAAGGCAATTCAGCCAGTGTCCCCATTTTATGAAACCTACTGCCGACATAAAAGCAAACTGAAATCAAAAGAATACATTCTCCATTAAATAAATGGAAAACAATGAAAAGTAGAGATGAAAAAATTTAACCAGAAAATACTAAATTATAATATTCCTTGCATTTGATACAGCACCTTACCACATAGTTGAACCGTCTCAAAGCACTTCACTAAGAAACTGTTAAGTGGAATGACAGTATGTTTTGTGGACAAATTGCAACAGCCTACTGTTGCAACAGTCAATCGATTCAGAATATAGAAAAAAAAACTTTTTCTGAGGGTTGTATGGTATCGTAACCAAGGAAATAATAGGTGATAAAAAGTGACAATACTACTGAACAATGTATTTTGAAAACTTCACTTTAACAGGCCAAGATTTTTAAACCTGGAGTGAAAATTTGCTGGTTGAGCTAAAGTAAGCAGTCAAACCAATTTAAACATCAATTGAACAACACAAAGGCATTAACATTGTTCTTAATGTAAGTATCATCATATTCTCAGCCGCTTTAGGTTTCTGCACACTTCAAGACCAACTGCAGCTAAACTAAAAAAAATCAAATTTATCGAGGTTTACTAAATTAAACTGATTAAATTGATATAAATCCATGAATTAATAATAATCCTTGTACTTGATGTTGTGGGAGGACGTCTCAAGGCATCCACTACTGTTAAGTGGAGTGACTGTGTAC